TGGGGGGTTGGTAGAGGTCATTAAAATTCAATTTTATTTTATTTTAGGAATTTCGATCACTAATTAGGCGTGCACCCAAAAAATTGGAAGATTTGAACCAAAAACCTACATCAAATGTGCCAACTCCACCATCCCCTTTATCTTTTTAAAGATCAACATGGTCAACTTAGAATTTTTTAACCAAGCTAAAAACATTTCTGTTGTTCTACCAAGTTCTCCAATCAAATCAAAATTTGTGGCAAATCGGTCCAATGGGTTCATGTGATATGAATGGACAAAGAAACAGACAGAGATTGCTACTTTTTACAGATATCCTTTTTAGTATAACAATCTTTTAGGCTTTTGTAGACAAAGATGTTTGGAAGATTATCTCCAAATCTTTAAGGTATTTAAAATCAATGTTTAATGTCTAAGATGTTATTTTCGTAATATTAGGATCTCCAAGATGGTTATTTTTATCTTTCCTTTATTTGATCTGAAAGGAATTTCTAAACTAAATGTGTAACTTGTAGTACTAGAAAAGTTTTTTAATTGGATGGTATTTTCTTTGAAAATATCCATTATCCAACTTATGGGGGGGGGGGGGGGTGAAAAATGGATATCTTTATTGAAGGAGTGAAAGATTTTTATTCACTGACCACCAAAATTCTCTGCCTTTTTTCTTGTTATGCTTTTCGGGGGCATTGAACGAATGATTTTCAAAGTACTTTTTTTCAACAACAACAAAAAATGGCTACACATAAAGATGAACAAGTAACGGTTCGTTTCTTTTATTCAGAGCATGCTTCGGATCAGGATCCGTTGGATCCGGTCCCCTTGATTTTGGATTCCTGGATCCGGATCCAAGAAGCAAAATCAAAAGAAGAAAATGTGAGAATTCTGCTATGTTAAATTAATTTAGTAAATCTTAAAGAAATGTTCATGACCTGGATCCGGATACGCATCAAAATTAGTCACTGCTTTATTTAACCTTACCTTTAAACCATGTAATTTTAGTGTTCTACTGAAGAAGGACTGGGATGAGAGACTAGAGGATGATAAATTAGTTCTGGAAAGAATTCTCATTCTCATTCGTAATATTCTACAAGGTAAGAATATTTTATTCACAGGGTGACAGTACTAAGGATTCATATCAAGATCTGCTACATTTGAGCTCCGTGAATCCGAATCCGGATCCGGATACAAGGGACGGAATATCAAAACCAGTGCTTAGGATCCGGATCCGTTGGATCCGTAACAGGATATGCACAAATATGCTGATATCCGGACCTAAGGGGCAAAATACCAATCAAAACTAATTTCTATCACTTTAAACACAAATCTCAACTGTCACTAATGAGCTTTCATTAAAATTTCATAATCTCTGAATTATTTATTAAGTATTAGCATCAAAATAAGCGGAAAAAAGATAATACGAATCTGAAGGAAATGTTTATGATCGTAAACATCGGAAAAAAACTTGTTTCTCTTACAGGGATGAGAGATCATTTAAACCTTCCTAATCATTGAATGGAAAAACGAGGTTTTTCATAAAAATGAAGCCATCCCTGCAAAATGTGATTCTAATGGTAAAAAAAAATTTTGTGAAGAGATCAGCATTAATAATGATGCACGAATCGTATCAACATGAAATAGATCCAAAACACTGCGCTGAGGGGAAATAATAGATTGAACATCAACTTTTAGAAAGTTTTTTCGTCCTTTTTAAAAGTTCTCTCCTAAAAAAACATCACTGACATCTGTATGAAATTAATGATTTCCCCCGGGGGGGGGGGGGGGGTATATTTAAAAAAAATACATATTAATGTATATTTTCTTTATTTCCTGCAAATGTCTGAAATAAGGGTAGAACAATTGGGGATAGTACTATAAAACTGTTCATAACCAAATCCTTATTTTAGTCCACACAATGTCCGTCATGAAGGTAAAACTGATGGGGATGGTACTATTCGTAATCAAATCCTTATTTAGTCCCCGCTAATGTCCGTCATGAGGGTAGAACTGATGGTGATGCTACTATTCACGATCAGGTTCTCTGGGTGCTTCAACAATCTGGTATTCAGGTAAAATAAACTATAAATACCTGCTGACCCTGTCCTCAAATCTCGCTAACTTGTCTAAAATGATGACAGTTCTTTGATGTACATAATAATCCTGAAGATGATCCTAATTTTAAAAGTTTAATCTTCAATGAAGGTTAAAGGATACCTTAGTGAAACTGACAATTATGATCTTAATTAAAGCAGTCATTTTGATGCAGTTAACTGAGCACTAGACTTCCAAAACAGAACATACATGCTGTCTAAGATACATTTTAAATCTCACTTTTTAGAACTGTAAAAACCTGTTTTTATAGGATCTGCTTCTGTACATTGGATCCGCAGACAGTGAAATGCATTACTGTATTCATGTTCTAGAGATAATTACTCTAATGTTAAGAGAACAGGTAGGATACTGAGATACCGTATTCATGTACTAGAGATGATGTTTTCATGTACTAGAGATACTGTATTCATGAACTAGAGATACTTTATTCATGTACTAGAGATACTGTTCATGTACTAGAGATACTGTTCATGAGCTAGAGACACTGTATTCATGTTCTAGAAATATTGCATTCATGTTTTAAAAATATTGCATTCATGTTTTAAAAATGCTGTTTTCTGTAATCATGTACTTGAGATACTGTGTTCGTGTGCTAGAGATNATAGGGGAAAATTAAAAATTTTACATGAAACGCTAACTTTTTTTCTTTCTTTCAATTTTCAAACTTTTACCCAAAAAATTAATTTATTTTTCCCTTAAAATCATTTATTTTCCATAATTCAGCGAAAAAAAAACATTAAAAGATTTCTCCGTAAAAAATACACACGTGGTTTTTTAGTGCTGGCTTGTTAATTTTGACCCAAATAATCAGTGATTATCCCAGATTCAGCTAAGAAACCTGAAACAATCCTTATATCGGGGAAATTATAAACCCCTGTTAAAATAATATTGATAACATAAAAATCTACGAGTTCCGCTTATATACTGTACACTTTATAGGACCCATCGGCCCTGGCATCCTCCAGCCTCTCGAGGTCAGAGGAGGAGAAACAGAAGGACGAGGAGGCTCTCAGGTACTTGGGGGAGGCTGGTGTAGGGTGACAAAGTTTATTTCTTGAAACTATTTTTAATATTGTGCATTTCTCAGGAGAGTTCAACGTGTAGAAGAAGAGCAGCGTAAACTAAAAGCTAGAAAAATTGTTTCTACTCGACATTCAAGGCAAGATAATCATTTAGTGTAATTCATCACTCTAAAGGGAATATGGACGTTATTTCTACTGACCCTCCATGCATGTAAATTCACAATTGTACCTTCAGAAGATCTGTATGATCAGGAATGAATGAGATTAATATATTTATTTTTATTTCTGAAAATTGATGATTTTCAATTTTGGTATCTTTACTAAAGTGATTAAAGTGAATTTCGAATCTATGCTACAGAACCAGTAGAGTAAAATGTTACAATGTATAAAGTTTTTAAGCTAGAAAAACAATTATATATTTCATTTCCACGACATTGATCGGATGCACGTTTTATTGGTATTGTTGTAAATCGGACATTTCCCTTTTTAATAGTCACAATTACAAAGACAGCTCTGAAAACATTTGAGCTCCCTGGATCATGGTCCGCAAAAAATATGCGGTATCAGATCAAGGTGTTGATTAGGGTTGCTAAATCTCGGTGTGCTTCAAGTACGGGAAATGTCGTGCTCTAAGTAATGGACAGGGAATTCTGTAAATGACGTCACTATTCTCCCTGTACTAGTGACTTCATTTACGAATTTAACTGTCTCTTAGGAGACAATATTTTCCGTATATTGGAGCGCATCGAGAGTAAGCAACCTTAATAAACAATCTTTATCGGGATCAAGTGGCATAATATCTACTAAAGGAAGAAGAAGAAATATTCTAGCTCTTAAAACTCAAATTTTAAGTGTCAATCAATGGGACCTCAGTGACCGTTGGATAATAAATCAAGCTGCATTTTAAAACTTAAAAATCTCTCATTCCAAAAACTTGGCTCATTTAATTTTTTAATGGTCGGATTCATGTGTATTTTTATTTAGGTTTGGAGGCACTTACGTTCTTCAAAACTTTAAGGTAACCTTATATGAAAAATGTTTAAATGCAATTCCTTCTAATATTGGTCGCGATCAACTCCAATAAATTTTAGGCTTCAGCCTGTACCCCCTTTCATTTTACCTGAATAGTCCCTTTGAGGTGGGTAGGGTCTGGTGATCCATAAATCCATATTTAGGGAGTAGGGGAAAAGGAACTTGTGATACATAAACCAATCCATGATTTACAATCCCTGGATTTGGATAAAGAAAAGAGAGGATTAAAGAAAGCTAAAAACAGACGAACACCAGAGGATACAGACCAGGTAATCTTAATAAAAGGGACAATTCACGAATATTCAGAACTGCCCAAATCGAGTAATTATATTTATTTATTTTTATCACCACACCGGATTTTTTATTTTTAAAATTCAGATGATATCAAATTTGGATTTTCAATTATCAAGGAATTTAAATCTTACAATTAAAAATTTATTTATTTAAGCCCTATTTATTTTAATTTGAATTAATTTTGAAGAAACGTAAATTTTTTTCTTATATTAATTAGGTTTTTCTAGAAAAAATATATCCCCTGTGTTCAATGTACATTGTCATCTTTGTGCATTTTTTTAGGTGCGTCGTTCTACTCTCGCAGTGCGTATTTTCTTGAAGGAGTTCTGCGTAGAGTTTATTTACTCTGCGTACAATCATCTGATGAATGTTGTCAAGGTATTTATTAAAGAAATAAGTATACTCATCTTAAAATACTGAAATTAAAAAATATTTAGTCTTAATTGATTTAGTTCAGATATTTGGTTTACAACAAAATTCTAAAATGAAATAAGCAGGACTATTTAAAGATTCATGATTAAACTTTCATATATCATTTACATTTTAGTGATGTCCGCTACATTATTATGATTATGAAAACCAGTTTGTTCAAAGGAACAAGGACCTTTAAGTGATGAACTATAACAGGACTTCCTTCGTCCTCCCTCCGGTGTATTTTTTTTTCATGTAATACTAAAATTGTTGAGAATCCTGCAGCATTACACCTCCCCTCGATGTTCGCAGAAACTTGTACCCTGCCATTTTGAGATGTGAGATTGTGAAGTTTACAATCAGTTTTAGTGGATTTGTCATACTACAATTTAAGAATTCCTGTATATTATTTTATCTCTCTATGTATTCAACAAATGAATATGCAAACAATGATTGTGAAACATTAGTTTCAATTATACAAATTGTTAGTTAACAAATTGTCAAGTTCCAAATTGTTAGGTTACCAAATTGTTAGTTACCAAAATATTAGTTACCAAATTGTTAGTTACCAAAATGTTAGTTACCAAATTATTAGTTACTAATAATCCGCCCATCATTTTTGGGACTGAGTCCTGTTGGCTATATACTTTTAGTTATTTTCTTATTCAAAGATTAACGCAAATAAAGAAAAAATTCCCAGTAATAAATTTTTTTAAGGCTAAAACTAGACACAGTGTGGAAAATACCTAGAAGAGAACTTCTAGAGAGAAAGTTTTTGAAAACTAAAAAGAGCACAAGGTGTGAAGAAAAGCTAGAGCTTTCCGATTGAAAACAAACTAATCATTATATGAAAATCCTATGTAACGACTTATGTTATGGAAATCCCATACACAGAAACTTTCCCCCGAGAGGTCAGCTGTACCGTCACGGTAAAGTACAAGGATTTGTAACCCCCTGGCGGCCAGTTCCGTCACTAACAGGGGCCTAAAATAACATTATTTTTTTAACTTTAATAATTTATTTTAATTAAATTCCTTGTCCATCCTTCAATAATACTTTGGCTAATTTTGAAAATAAAAATAAATTAATTTTTTGGATGTTTTCTGCATGCAGCTAGCTAAATTGCAGAGGCAGAACTATTTTTTGGAGCCCTGTATCAATATTCTATATATTGAGAGTGGCAAGGTTACTCTCCCCCTTGATTGTTTTCAAATTTTGCTTCAGTCATGATATTGTGTCAGCTCCTGCATTCTTAGCTAACTAACTTTCAATAAAATTCTTGATGGAGGGGGAGAGGGGGGAGTTTTACACATTTTCCAGTTTTTTATCTCGAGTAGGACATAGAGGGGGGGATGGGACGTCTGCCATCCTGTGTATTTGTCTTTAATCGCTATCGGTGAAAAAAATGGATAGTGTAGAGATCAATCTCCTTCTAATTTTCCTGTTTATAGTTTTCTTCTTCTTTCTTGTTATCTTGCTTTAAGCACCCATCTCTACTGTCAAGAGATTTCCCTTCCACTTTTTTCTGTTCAATTTATTTTTTCTTCTTGCTTCTTGTTTCTTGTTTTTATTAACATTATTTTTACTTTTCACTCCAATCGAAGTTTGAGGCACATCAAACCTAGGATGATCATTTAGGGAAAGTATTAGAAAAGAGTCTTTAAATGAAAATTAATAATATTGAGTTTTTGGATTTTTATGAACCAGCTGTGAGCCATGTAGAGCCGAGTTGCCGATCATAACAGTGTTGATTGGCATGTATTGTTAGAACCGGTTCTGTCACCTTTAGAACTGAGTCCTAGTCACTACTTACTTTGAGTAATAGTATCTAATCTAAATTCTTAAAGGATGCGTTGAATAGACAGAGAGCCCAGCTTAACGATGAGAGCTACTACCTCTGGGCAATGAAGTTCTTCATGGAGTTCAATAGAGGATTTGAGTTCAAGGTGAAATATTATAATTTATGCTTAGGGGGGGGGGGGTTAAACAAGTATGATTTTGACTTTTTATATCAAAATCTGATTATATTCCTCTTTTATTCATCCTTAGCATATTTAAGTTATGAACACATACTACATAGCGTTCCATATCTTATTGTCACTCGTATGCATATATGCTTATCTATATAACTGAAGAGGACATCATAGAAATATCGAAATATGTTTACGGCAGTAGCACAACTAGGGGGGGGGGGGCAAACCGAGTTCCCTCCCCCCCCCACCCACACTTAAGTCCTGCATGATCATGATCGTGGACCTTCTTTTATCAAATTTTGTCAATTAAGAAAAATTACTAAAATTTTTTGGTGCTTCGCGCATAATTTCTAATAGAATTTCTAAATATTTTCTTGTTTTCGCCTTAAAGAAAGTCAGTCATTATTAATTTATCCTCTCAAAATAACCGGTTTATATGTTACTTCTTATGAGTATTACAATACATATTTTATTAAGGTTAACAAGAAATATTATAAGGATTATATTGGACTATTAGGACTTACGCAGACTATAAGTGGAAACACGGAGATAAGCTCCTTACGTGCAAACATCAAAAAGAAAATAGAATGAATTATGGACAGAATATAGTCAAGTACTGCCAGGAACTATTTACTACTTAGGACTGCGCAGACCTACGATTAAGGGACAATATAGTGAACAAATACAACTAGTGGATGAATTACAAAAAACTTTTTCGCCTGGTGGGCTAGCCCTCCTCTACCCCCCACCCCAGGCCCTCAAAATCAAATTTCGCCCCTCCCTGTTTCTGTTGTTTGAATCTGTAAGTCACTTACAGAGAGGTCACAATTGAAAGTTATCAATTTCAGAAAGAAAACAGGAAAACTATAAATCTTTTGTGTCCAGCCAAAGGTTTAAAGGAAACCGCTGTGAATCGGAAATGACTCTTTGTAATTAAATGGCCACTTGAAATTACGTCTACAGTCCCTTTAAATATCTAGATTGAACTAGTCAGTGAGACCTTGTCTAAGCAGTGCTTCCACTTCCTACAGCAGCAGATTGAAAACTACAGGGATAATTTCGAGTTTGAAAAGAGAAACAGACCTAAATATCTCATGTGGGCTAAAAGGTAGGAATCATCAAACAAGAATTGTAAGATTGTGTCTAAATGGTTCAAATACAAAATGGCTTTCATTGATAATCCAAAATGGCGTTTATTGATAATCCAAAATGGCGGCCATTCTAGAACCCAGATTTAAAATTCAAATGGCGCCAAAAAATGTATTTCAAGATTTAAATGGCGGCTGTTAGATATTTAAGATGGCACCTATCTTATATAAACTTACAATTTTCAATTGTTCAATGAAAGACTTGACATTAAGGAGCCTTAAGACATCCCTGCAAAGTTTGATGGTTTGGTTTGATTTGATTTGATTTGATTTGATTTGATTTGATTTGATTTGATTTGATTTGATTTGATTTGATTTGATTTGATTTGAGATATGTCCAATCAGAGAAAGTTCTAATTCCGTTCTTAGGCCCCGCCGTACAATCTAAAATGAGATATGGGACTAGTGGGACTAAGACCCCATTTTTTATTTAGAATGCATCTTGCAGTTCGGGCCTATGAGGAACTGCTGTTAAATCTAGTTCAGATGGAGGGATCGAAGGTAAGGCTTTTTCTCTCCTTATTAACCACTAGAATTTTGAATGGCTGTCGTCTTCTTTATTTCTTTGACTAGGCATAAAGTGTAAAATTAGGCTGACTCGCTAAATTCGGTGAACATTTTAAAATCTGATGATAGGAACCTTATTCTCGTTCAAAATGGAAACTTATGATACTGTATTGACAGGATGATAGAGTACGAGAGGCGGGTCGGGTGATTAGAGCAGGTGTATTCTATGAACCAGAGTACAGAGAACTCTGTCTTCAGCAGCTCTCATCCTTTAATCCAGATAGGATGACCAAAGGTGTTTTTTTAGTTTTTTTTGTGAATATAGACTTTTGAAGAGTGCTTCATGTCCCCTCTATTATTATTATAATTAAAGCTTTGTTATTTTACCGGAAGCCATTTTTACAAAACAACACAATTAAATATTACATTTCTATTCTCATAAGATTATCCTATTCTTGGATTTCTTGTATCTAGGATATCTAACGGATCTTGTCCAAACTACCCACGTATTCTTGAATTTCTTGTATCTAGGATATCTAACGGATCTTGTCCAAACTACCCACGTTTGTATCTAGGATATCTAACGGATCTTGTCCAAACTACCCACGTATTCTTGGATTTCTTGTATCTAGGATATCTAACGGATCTTGTCCAAACTACAGACGTATTCTTGAATTTCTTGTATCTAGGATATCTAACGGATCTTGTCCGAACTACAGACGTATTCTTGAATTTCTTGTATCTAGGATATCTAACAGATCTTGTCCGAACTACAGACGTATTCTTGAATTTCTTGTATCTAGGATATCTAACGGATCTTGTCCGAACTACCCACGTATTCTTGAAGCTAATGGAACATATGTCCAAGAAGAGCCACCTCCTGGTCAGCAAAAAGTCGAAGAAGAAAATGTCTAAGTCTGGGAAGAAGAAGAGTGTGGTTCCCCCGGGTGGGGGAGAAAGACAAGGAAAAGAAGAACAATGGGATCTTGTTTCTCCACAGCTTTCTTCCCTTCTTCAAGGGAAAGGTAATAGCTCTCAAACTCTATTTATGATTGTAATGCAAAAAAAAATACATTTATTCAACGCTTTTGGTCACATATAAGTAAAGTTTTCGACAGTAAAAAACTTGAAAAACTTTACATATATCAAGATATATCTTGTATGATGATTTTTCTGTGATTTTTTCGTATCAAGAACAACGTCGGGAACTTAAAAAATGATAGTTTCAAAAATAATTTGATAAAATTAGAATTTCAAAAATAATTTGATTTTTAAGAGTTAAAAAATAATTTGATTTTTAGGATCTCTTCCAACTGACGTGATTCCTTTCGACGCTGCATCTGATATTCCAATAGAAGATCAGAAAATACAAGCCATGAAGAGAATTCAGGTTGAAAACTTTAATTCACTAACTATTGTTGTGACTACAAATGTTTTTTATTTGAAAGAACTGTCCTCTTTAGTTTATGTGACTCTCTTTTTAAAAAGAGGGAAATGTTTAATTGACAGAACTTTACCCGGTTTACCTTCGTCTGAGAAATCCTTTTGTTTGCCATCTAAAAATTGATTTTTCCAATTTGGTTTTACTCTGTAAGTGACTTACGGTTTAGTGTAGTAGAGATAATAAAGGTACAATCAGAATTTAGCACTTAAAAACTCATTGTTTCTCAGTTAAAGGTTTAAAGGGTACTGTTTCTCAGTTAAAGGTTTAAAGGGTACTGTTTCTCAGTTAAAGGTTTAAAGGGTACTGTTGTAAATGAGACATGTCACTGCTTAGGATCCGGATCCGTTGGATCCTCAAGATTTTGGCTTCCTGGATCCGGATCCGGGTCCAAGGTTCAAAATATCAACCAAAAACTGCAAAAAAAAAAACTTTTTTACTCTAAACCATAATCTGTACTTTTGAAGAAAGAGAGATTATAAAATTTCCTGACTTCTGAATGGTTCATCAAGTTTTAGTATAAAAATAAGCAAAAAAAAAATGAAAAATTCTGCTCAGTAAATTTTAGAGAAATGACCTGAATCCATTGTTTTCTAGTGCGGATCCAGAATCCAGAATCAGGATCCGTATCAGAATTAAATGGATCCTAAGCATTGACCGAAAATCTATTTAAAATTACTTAATTAGTCTTAAATAAAATAAATATTTATACTTTTATATTTTATGTTTTATACAATTTGACCTGACACCTGTTCTTACCCCTAGACTGCTTTGGTTTCTGTTAAACCTGATCTAGCCATTGCGCTCCTCAGGGCTTCAAGGTGAATTTTATAATTTCGTGCTAAAATACTGTTCTTACACGTTTGGATCGTTTTTAGAAAAAAAACGTGAAAGATTTTAAAACTGTATTTAGCAATATCTTTAACCAAAAAATAGTGCAAAAACGATCCGAAAACGATCGTTACGACCCGTTCGTTTTTGCATCGTTCTGTGGTCGTATTTTGCATTTAACTTCTGCCAAGGTCAAAATTTGACTAAGTGTAAGGAAATTGCATATTTAGAATTCAATGTTCCGAAAGAACTTAGAACGTCTAATATCCCAACATTTTTTTCTTCTTCATTTCAACTTGTAAAATCTGTACTGTCGCTAATATTGAATAGAAAAGGGGAGCTGCCTTTAATGATTTTTGTTTATATTTAAATTGTTAAGATAAGATCTAGATTGAGTAATTGTTTTCTCCAGTAATTTTGACATCAGTAGACTCCATTTTAGAACTAATAATTAATTTATGATACTGTTTAGTGTTTAATCATATTTCTAAAATTAGGTCGACAAATGAACGGTACATTTTTTTCAAAGATCAATGATAATCTTCAAGTAGTCTTTAACTGTTATGATATTCAGCGTCTTAGCAAATATCGCTTTTAACCTAAAAAGATGAATAAATTTTTGTTTAAGAGAAGTGTGGACCGAAGGCGATGCATTCGGTGCGGCGGAATCCGAGGCGGAGGATGATTTTATGGCACTCAGAGAAATACTTTTCGCGGATTTAGGTCTCGGAGATCAAGCAAGTAAGGCATTTTGATATTAACCGATTTTTAGCTTTGAGTGTTGATTTACTTGTCACCCTTTAACTTTTTATATTTTAATTAAACAAAATAAAATCAAAACATTTTTACGCGAATTGTTTCTATTTTGGACCGACCAGTCGTTATAAACATGACTTTCTGGGAAAAAGCTATTTACCCCACAAAAATTATGGAGAGAAAAAATGTAAAAATATTCGTCCTCCACGAGATTCTAAGATTTTTTCGTTATTTTTAATTCCGACAAATATAATCAATCTTGTGTCTTCCTTCATAAATTTTCTCCTGAAGATGGTGGGGATGAAGGAAGGGATGAGAATGAACGTGAGGAGGAGGAGGATGAAGAGGAAGAAGAGGAGGAGAGAAGAGTTTACTCCGTGGAACAAGAATTTGATTTTAAAAGTTTTGTTGCCAGGTATCCAGAGTCCGAATTTAATCAATTTGAGCCGCGTCTCAAATCCCCCCAAAACCGGTTTAAATTGAGCGCTGGCTAAAATCTTGAAACACTATGTGGAACCAACCATATTTGAGTCGCGGCTCAAATTCTTTAAATTCGGCCTCAGGACGCTTATTTTATTGTAATGTGCTTTCATTTGACATAGAAGGACAGCCCAATAATAAGTTGTGCTGCAACATTAGAATTTTTTAAGAAGTACGAACTTTTCCTGGACTGGGAATTAGGAAGGTCATGGTTCAGAAATTTGTTTATTTACAATAAAGTGTTTTATTGTAAATAAACAGAATTGCAAAAGTTTTATAAAAAGTATTTCCTGTTTGTACCTCTCCGCCCCCTGGCCGGCATGAGAACTGTAAAGAATAAAAATTTAAATTAAATTGAATTTAAAATCTAGGTTTGCTGTCAAGAATGTTGTCAAACCTTTTGGTATTCTCTTCAGTAACTACGAGAACAACAGCAAATCTACAAACCACAACATTATCAAGATGTTCCATAGAATAGCAGTGGATTGTGGAACACCGGCTATTCTGTTCCAGGCAGCAATTTTCAGAGTGTTCCAGAGAATTTGGAACGATCTGAAAGCGAAACCAGAAGATGCGAATCTGCGGGAACTTGCTAAATTTGGCAAGTTCATTCTTCGCCAGGTTTTTATCTTGTTATTAGAAACTGCTGACGTAACCTCAGTTGACCCTCTATTTGCAGAGTATCATGTCATATTTATATAGGTACCATTACAATCTTTTCTCTGGTCGAGGATGATGGGCATCCCATATTTGTTAGCTGAAACTTAATTGCATTCGCACACAGTGTGCTCCGAAATTTAATTTGTTCTTATAAGGATATCTTTGTTGTCTATCGAACTAAGGTTTAAATGGAACAGTTGTGATACTTAAATACTGAATACTACTCTAGAAATAGGGGTCGACATTGTATCTTAACCATAGATTAAGAACAAAACAGATAGAACCTGTTGGTTCACCGATATAGGGTCAAACGACAAACGGTCAAAAACGCGAAAAAGGGTAGAACGACAAAGGGTAAAATGGGAAAAAATATTTTATGTATTATATCAGGGTTAGGTTAGGTTAAGACAATTTCTGGGCCGAGTGCTGCGGCTAGGACAGATTGGGGGGGGGCAGCGCTGCGGCTAGGACAGACTAGGGGCCGGGCGCTGCATGATCAATTATGTACCATGTACAAAATTGATAGGATGGGGGGGGGGTTCAAATTAACCAGAAATAGTCTAAATTAAATTTGCCCCTTTTTGGCACTTTTTGACCTTGTGTCGTTCTACCGTTTGTCGCGTATTTGACCGTTTGTGGTTTGAACCTAGGTCGTTTGACCCTGGGTCGTTTTATCCTATGTCGTTTGACCTTATGGGATTTGAACCTATGTCGATGAATCGGAGTTAAGCTCATGCCCCGTTGAATTACAAGACAGAGAGAGAAAGAGCATGCGCGTAACCCTTCGGGCTCCGCCTCAGGTTTATTGTCTACAAAAAACTTCTAAATCTTGTTAATAAGACATCTAGTGTTCTATCTGTATTCTTATGTATCTATGATCTTAACATTTATACTAAAATTAGCTAGATTAACATATTGAGAAGGAACTGATTTTACGACACTTATATTACCTCTAGTTCATGACTGTGGCTGTATCCAATAAGAAAGTATTTATGGAATTACTCTTCTGGAAAACTTCAAGGGATGCTCTAGAGATTGTTGAAGGTAGAAACTTGGTATTCTGACTACGCCCCTGGTACGTTCACTCATTTGTAGAGTGCTTTTTCCTATTTAAAAAGATACCCTTAAACCTGTATTAGATCAAGGAAGAAGGAGATATCCTTATTTTCTTAATGAGTGCCAGGGAACTCACAGTGTATACATAAGATTCCCAGCACTGCGAGTCAGTCCTGTCACTCCCCCAGTCCCTTTAATTATTCTGTATAGGATATGGAACCCACTCTAGCACAGCGCAGCAGAAGAAATCATTCTGGTCAGAGGAAGACGAGCTTAAACTCGTGCAGATATTCAGGTAGAATTAAAGGGATTGTTCGCTAGATATTCAGGTAGAATTAAAGGGATTGTTCTCTAGATATTCAGGTAGAATTAAAGGATTTTTCTCTAGATATTCAGGTAGAAATAAAGGGATCTTTGTTTTTTTAGACAATAATCCTGAGGCGGATATCATGGGGCGGATATAATCCATGTATATATGTATTTGGACAAGTGAAAGAGATTGAGGCGGATATAATCCATGTATATTTATTTAGACAAGTAAGGAGATTGAGGCGGATACTCCTGAGGTGGATATCATTGGACGGATATAATCATGTATATATGTATTTAGACAAGTAAAGGAGATGGAGGCAGATAATCCTGAGACGGGTATCATGGGACGGATATGATCCATGTAAATAAGTAAAGGAGATGGAGGCGGACATAATCCATGTATATATATATTTAGAAAAGTATATATATAAATAAATATGTTATTAGACAAGTAAAGGAGATGGAGGCGGATAATCCTGAGGCGGGTATCATGGGACGGATATGATCCATGTAAATAAGTAAAGGAGATGGAGGCGGACATAATCCATGTAAAGTAGACAAGTAAAGGAGATGGAGGCGGATAACCCTGAGGCGGATATCCTTAGGTATAGGTATAGGTTTTACAGAGATGGAGGCGGATATCCTGGATCAGATAGAATCCATATATATATATATATAGACAAGTAAAGGAGATGGAGGCGGATAACCCTGAGGCGGATATCCTGGATCAGATAGAATCCATATATGTATATTTAGACAAGTAAAGTAGATGGAGGCGGATATTCTGGATCAGATAGAATCTATGTATATATATTTAGACAAGTAAAGGAGATGGAGGCGGATAACCCTGAGGCGGATATCCTGGATCAGATAGAATCTATGTATATTCATGAGAAGAGAACAAGGAGACAGATTGGAAACAAACTAAGGGATCTCGGACTCATCGCCAGCATTATGGTAGAGGAGTATATCTATATATATATATATATATATATATATATATATAATGTTGTAATCTCTGTTTGTCTGTCTGTTTGTTTAATTGGGGAACTCGGGAGAGATTCTGAATTGAGTGGGTCGACTTTTATTTTGAAAATTTAGTTTCCCGGTAAAATCGCCAAAGTGCGGGTAAACGGCTGGAGTAATTATAGATAACCTGGACAACGCTAGGTTCATAGTCATATATATTTATTAAAAAAAACCATTCCCCTCCCAATTCTTTAAAAGTAATTTATACTTCCGCTTTATAATTTTTTCACTTTTTGGGAAATGGAGAAATTAGGTGGTTTAAAAAAAGGATCAAGAAAATGTTTAATTATGTCGTCTTTAGACTCTACTTGGGTTGACATGTCTGATTTTCTTTAAAACCCAGTTTTGCATTTATGCTACAGCAGAAACAATGGTTTAAACAATGTTTTAGGACTTTAAAAGATGAAAAACAACGGTGTCTCAGTTTAAAAGTACCATTTTGATTCGTCAGTGCTTAGGATCCATTTAATTTTTATCCAATGGAAAAAATGGATCCGGATTCAGGTCTTAATTTCTTTAAGATTTTCCGATTTTTTGAACAAAAGAAAAATTTTCAAGTTAATTTTATTCTTTTATTCGCTTATTTTAATGAACCATTCAGTGATAAGAAAAATTTGATAATCTCTCTTTTAGTTCAGTTTAGATTTGATTTTTAGGAGTAACAAGTTTTTTTCTCACAGTTTTTAAATGATATTTTGGCCCTTGGATCCGGATCCGTGTATCCGCATATTATTATGGATCCGGATCCAGGAAGCCAAAATGTCCAACGGCTCCGGATCCTAAGCACTAATGCCACGGTTTATATATGGAACTTGAAATAACGTCTACTCACCCTTTTTGTGTAAAGAGTTTAATATAAACATGTACATTGTACAGGAGATTACCCGGAAACCCCTGGGATCCAGGAGAACATGGTCGGAGGAAGAAATAGAGAAAATTACTCAACTCTACCAGGAATACAAGGTAATCTCAATCAAACACGCGAATCCTATTAAAAGACGTGGCCACGCTATTATCTAATTTTGCATGGGAACTACTTGTAAAAAATCCGACTGTAAAATGTACAACAGGAAGAGTCATGAGACTATAAACTGTACAACGGGAAGAGTCATAAGACTATGAACAAAGTGCGTAAAACATTTACTGAAACTGATATTAAAGTCGTCGCAATAAAAAAAATCTTTGCAATATAAAACACATGAAATATTGATGACATAACTTATAAAAAAGTTCCTAACTTCCTAACTATTTGTATTTGAATCCACTGTAGTGTACATCAATTTACTTCCTTGAATCTCTTGAATGTGAGTGAGTACATGGATACGGCTGTGTTGTAAGGAGGACAGTTTATTTTCAGTTCTTCTTATTATTGAAATTATAGTGATGATTGCAATCAGAATATTTTTGTTTTAATATTTGATGAATTTTGCACCTTTTCTAAATGTATAGCACTAGACAGTCTAGGTAAGCAATTAGTGGAATAAAATACCCATGTCCGGAGAACCTCCATCTCTTTTCGAAATATTAAAAATTAATTCTGGTAAACATTAACTTAACTTAAGCATTTGTACTTGAGCATTAAAAGAATCAAAGTTATCATATCTCATAAGCAGACCATCACAAAAATATGTAAACGAACTTCAGAAACAATTTAAGATATTTCAAATTATGTTAACAAAAAACAATTTATTGTTTTTTAAATATGTATTCCAGTTCAGGAATATTTTAGGATGTTGAATACCCTGCTAACATTCATGAACAATATTTCAGGATGCTGAACACCCTGCTAACTATATTCATGAACAATATTTCAGGATGTTGAATACCCTGCTAACATTCATGAACAATATTTCAGGATGCTGAACACCCTGCTAATCGTATTCATGAACAATATTTCAGGATGCTGAACACCCTGCTAATCGCATTCATGAACAATATTTCAGGATGCTGAACACCCTGCTAACATTCATGAACAATATTTCAGGATGTTGAATACCCTGCTAACTATATTCATGAACAATATTTCAGGATGCTGAACACTCTGCTAACATTCATGAACAATATTTCAGGATGCTGAACACCCTGCTAACTATATTCATGAACAATATTTCAGGATGCTGAATACCCTGCTAACCATATTCATGAACAATATTTCAGGATGCTGAACACCCTGCTAATCGTATTCATGAACAATGGAAAATGGCAGGACTTACTTCAAGGTAAGGACAAAGAAATCTCCGAAGAAATTAAAAACATTAAAATTGGAATATTTGGTTCTGTCCATTTTCATTCAGGTCCCTTGTTTGTCTTTTTTTTTTTTGTTTAGATGTCCAATGATAACTCGACCGATTTGCCTTAAATTTGAATTTGGGAACTCGTAAAATCCATGGGAACGTCTTTAGCTTGATTTAAAAGTTCTTAGTTGAGTAGGTCATAAATGCAAACTTTATTTCCAGACAGAGCTGTATTCCCAAGCAAGTGTGAAAAATATTGAATCATTTTTTTTTACTTTTTTAAAAATGGAAAATTACCTCGAGTACATAATTGTTAACATGTTGAAAGTCTCTGATTGCCAAATATGAAGATTTTTAAGTTGTTAGTGATTTTTGTTTGTTCAAGCTACTAGATATTTTTGTAGTTTAATGAAGTCTTTAGATAATTATGAATGATTGTTTTCTAAGATTCCTTTATGAAAATTATTTATATTGTGTGTTTGTCTACCATTGTTAATCTAAGCTACCCTAATTTACCAATTGTCGTCTCTAAACATCTTTTTAAAAGATGCATTTCAAGGAATAAACGGGAGCTTTTTGAAAACAGTTTTCAGCTAGTCGTAATTAGCATAATTATAACTGCAGAAAAGTATATGGTTTGATTTTATATTATCTAGGTCTAAAGGGAAGCTGATTGAGAAAATAATGGAACTTGGCCTTTGCCAGGACAGATCAAAACTTGGAAGGGTAACTTTGTTTTTATTAAAGGGACTTATATAAACAGTAGAATTTACGATTCGCAACGGTGCCCTTTAACCTTTTCTCTGTAACAAAGGATTAAGGGTGCTGTTGTGAATGAGACAAACTTTTTAAAAACTAATTGTAGAGGCCGGGTGTTTTAGAGCGCTTACCCGATGGCGGTCTGAGTTCTCCAACNCTTATCATGAAATTTATCTGCATGTCGACACAAGATCTATGCTTATCATGAAATTTATCTGCATGTCGACACAAGATCTATGCTTATCATGAAATTTATCTGCATGTCGACACAAGATCTATGCTTATCATGAAATTTATCTTCATGTCGACACAAGATCTATGCTTATCATGAAATTTATCTTCATGTCGACACAAGATCTATGCTTATCATGAAATTTATCTTCATGTCGACACAAGATCTATGCTTATCATGAAATTTATCTGCATGTCGACACAAGATCTATGCTTATCATGAAATTTAGGAAAAAAGTTCAAACATCTGTGCATGGTTTTACAACTTCTGATTTAAGATTTTTAAAATAAGCAAACAGGAAAAAAATCGTCTCCCTTAATTTGCAGTCCTACATTTCTATTTATACCATATTATTGATAAGAATGACGAGTGTTTGATGATGAATATATTTATAAGGTGCGTAAACGTCGTCAGCAGAAGCGAGATGATGGAGGAGGAGCAGCCTCCGAGTCCGACTCTGCTCTGGAGGATTCTAGTTCAGGATCCGAGGATTCAGAAACAGAAGCAGAGGATCAACCTCAACCAGCTTCCAGTACAGGTATTCTTGGATTTGTAAGTTGGATTTTCAAAATAAAATATGTTTCTGTAAAATCGTTTTTTAACGAATTTTTTTTTGTTCCGAGATTTATTGCAAATGACCCTGTTTTTCCAGAAACATTTCAAAAGGACTGAATGGATAAAATGATTTTAATTTGAATATTTTCATTTACATCACTTCTCTAGAAATGAAAATGCATTATAACCAATTTACTTGATTTAAATCCTAATATTTTGTAATCTTTTAAAAATCTTCAAGTTTTAATCTGGAAAATAAATATCTTTAAACTATGTCTAGATGTTGTGGGAGCGTGTAGGGCGTGGTTGGATGGTGGGGAGGGGCGTGGCAGTGTACTGGGTTGGTTAGGAGATGTATTGAAGGGAGAGGGGGAGGACCGGGAAACTGAAGATGAACCTGACGAGGTTCCTCTTGTTCCTCTTCTTGAAGAACAAGCGCTTGCAATCCTAGACGAGAAGTTCCAGGTATAATTACTCTAAAAAAAAGTATTGATACGTTTCTAAGAATGTCATTTCTAAGAAAAGACATTTTGAAGATTTTTCATGGATACTTAAATACTTAAATACTTAAATACTTAAATACAATACTTAAATACTTAAATACTTAAATACTTAAATACTTAAATACAATACTTAAAAACTTAAATACTTAAATACTTAAATACTTAAATACTTAAATACTTAAATACTTAAATACTTAAATGCTTAAATACTTAAATGCTTAAATACTTAAATACTTAAATACTTAAATACTTAAATACTTAAATACTTAAATACTTAAATACTTAAATACTTAAATACTTAAATACTTAAATACTTTAATACTTTAATACTTTAATACTTTAATACTTAAGTACTTAAATACTTAAATACTTAAATAATTAAATAATTAAATACTTAAATACTTAAATACTTAAATACTTAAATACTTAAATAGTTCCTTTTCAAAAATTTTTATTTTTCATGCACGATATGGATGTATATTGTATAATGTATATCTTTATTTTTCATGCACGATATGGATGTATATTGTATAATGTATATCTTTATTTTTCATGCACGATATGGATGTATATTGTATAATGTATATCTTTATTTTTCATGCACGATATGGATGTATATTGTATAATGTATATCTTTATTTTTCATGCACGATATGGATGTATATTGTATAATGTATATCTTTATTTTTCATGCACGATATGGATGTATATTGTATAATGTATATCTTTATTTTTCATGCACGATATGGATGTATATTGTATAATGTATATCTTTATTTTTCATGCACGATATGGATGTATATTGTATAATGTATATCTTTATTTTTCATGCACGATATGGATGTATATTGTATAATGTATATCTTTATTTTTCATGCACGATATGGATGTATATTGTATAATGTATATCTTTATTTTTCATGCACGATATGGATGTATATTGTATAATGTATATCTTTATTTTTCATGCACGATATGGATGTATATTGTATAATGTATATCTTTATTTTTCATAAACGATATGGATGTATATTGTATAATGTATATCTTTATTTTTCATGCACGATATGGATGTATATTGTATAATGTATATCTTTATTTTTCATGCACGATATGGATGTATATTGTATAATGTATGTCTTTATTTTTCATGCACGATATGGATGTATATTGTATAATGTATATCTTTATTTTTGCTATCAAAGAAAACCGATTTTTCTCGGTCTATGAATATGATTGTCTATTAATTTAGAAATGTCCTATCTTTGAATTTTCTGATGAATGAATGTTCAAACTAAGAAATGTCTTTATATCAGGTTGCAAAGATTTGGGGATTCAAAAACTTAGAGTTTGGGGCGTGGAATCTGTTTTTGAGCCTTATGTTGAAATAAATATTAAGAGTGTTCTGGAGAGTGTAGGATTGACTGCTCCAGTGTCTGGAGAACAATACTGGAGAATACCCCAGGATATTGGAGCCAGAGCACTCAAGGTACAGTTAGACACTAATCCATATTTACTACTGAATGTCATGATTACAGGGGGATTTTGTTGAAATCCCCCTGTAATGTCATCAATATTTTATCTATACATAAAAGCTTGTCTGTCTGATTGTTTGCTGTTTGTTTGTATTCAATAAGCGTCAAAACGGCTGAATCGATCGGGCCCAAATTTTGTGTGGGACCTCACGTGACCCCATGGAAGGTTTATGAATGATCAAAATTTTAAAAATTTTTGTTTAAAAGTTTTATTTAGTAAAATTTTGAAAATGCGCGAAAAAATATTATGAAATCTGCAAACTTTTGTTTTGTTTTGTTTTTACTGTACAAAGAGAAGATGCTCACAGATAAAGCCAATAAGTCGCAGATAAACGTTGAAATAGAAGAGCCTAGTATAAAATACTTTGCTTGTCTGTCTGTTCGTTTGTATCCAATAAACGTCAAAACAGCGGAACTGATCGGGCCCCACATTTTTTAGACAACCCACATGACCCCAGTGAAGGTTTATGAATGCTCAAAATAACAAATCTGTTTTTTAAAAAATCGATTTGGTAAAACTTTGAAAATCCACACACAAAAAAATAACTAAATCCGCGAATTTTTTGTTATTGTTTAATTAATGTACAAAGAGAAAATGCTCACACATAAAAACACATTAAAAAGTTAAAATATCGCCCCGAAAGCCTTATATAGGACTAAAAAAACTTAAATGCAGTTATGTATTCAAATTTAAATCAAGATTATATTGTTGTTTATGATAGGTCTAAAATGAATGATTAATTATAGAGCCGTGGACTGGTTCTTCGACGGGTAGTTGAAGGTGTAGAGGATCCTCTGGAGAACATTGAACTAGATCTACTCAAGGTTTATTTTTAAACGGGCGTTACAAGAAGTTACAAGAAGGGATTTTGTTAACACAAAAAGGGTCGGGGGTGCAAAGTTAAGAAAGGAATCTTGCTAACTCAAAACCAAGGGTTCAAGATAAAGTGGCATGCATGTGCAAGTGCATGATTAAAATAAATTTAAAAATCACTCTGAGAAAGAAAGAAAAACTTGAAGAAAACTTATGAAAAAAAAACAATGAAAAGTGATTTAAGGTTCAAAGAAACTCTAAAGAGCACATTTTTTGCGAAATTATTTTAAAAGTTTAACTTTATTTACATATGTATTTAGAAAGACAATAATGATTTTTCAATACATATTTCAATATACAATAATATATTTAATTTTATTTTTATCATTTTAATTTTTTTATCAGGTTTCTCGAGGCCTGGCGAACATTGTTGAACAAAAGAAGAAGAAAAAGAAGAAACGAGGAGCTAACAAATGGCAGCCTTTTAGGTAAAAACTTTTTAGATTATGGAGTTTAATTTATTTATTTGTTATCCTGTAAATTTTGTCCACGTAGAAAAGTTAAAATTCGGAAAATATTCAATTCTACATTTAATTTTAATCTATCATTTTTAATACATTCTGACTTGTCTTTTGGTGTGTTATTTTTTTTAACATAAAGAATTTTATTGGTTGAATTATAGTCGGATATTGAACGAAAGAATTAAAATATTTTGCATTTAAAAAATTACTTTAGGTTAAATTATTTTTGATAATCAGAAAAGTCAGCTAAGCATCAAATTATTATTTTAAAAACTTGGAGAGAAAAATGGCTGAGGGAAAAGTAGCTTTTAAATTTAAAACTATTTAGATTGTTACAATAAATAGTTCGCTCTTGAAAGCCCAGTTCAGATTTATGAATAATTTAGACGAGAACCTGTCCCTGGTATGGATTCAGGGCCCTCTAGCAGTACTCCTAAACCAGCCAGCAAGCCTAAACAGTCCAGAGAAAAGAAATCAAATAGATCCTTCCTTAACTCAGACACTGATAGTGACAGAGAGAAGGAAGACGATATTCAAGAACAGGAGAAAGAAGACGACATTCAGGACACGGAAAAACTCGAGAAGGACGCAGCGAAAACTAAGGTGATTTATTTTTTTAATTGCTTAGAGGGTTCCCACCTAAGATGAGACCTAAACCTTTATCTGAACTAAAATAAAACAGATTTCCGTGCTAGATTTATTCGCGGTCATCAGACGCAGAAGCTAGAAAACCGACGCTATCTTTAATAACTTTGATCAGATTACTGTTTAAATGAATTTATAAGGATTAGGGATAAAATGAGAAATAAACATTAAAACTGAACAGAGGTAGGAATAAGATTTAAGGAACATTTCCTCCCGCGCAGGAAGAAACCAGCGCGAGAACTTCCCCCGCGAGGTCAGCTGTACCGGCCCGATAACCTACAAGGATTTGTAAACCCCTGGCGGCCAGCTCCGGCACTAACAGGGGCCTAAAATAACATTTTTCCTGAAAAATCTAGGTTTTTTCTTTAAGAAATAGTAATTAATACCTCCTCCCTGGGGGTTTGATCATTATTTATTGCTGCAAGAAATAAAGTAAGATCTTGTTAAGGAGGAAGAGAAGAGTGTTATGAAGAAGAAGAAGGTTGTCTTGGACAAGGCTAAGCTCCTCAAGCTGCTGAATGACGAGGAGAGTGATATCAGCTCGGATTCCGACGAAGACGGAGACGACATTAATGTGGACTCTTCCCACGAAGGTAATTATCTGAGTGCTTTCAGTTGGTTGGTTTATCGGGGCCAATGAGTATGAATTAGAAAGGAGATTTAACTGACGCGGCCCGCACTACCCTATGATTTATGATTTAACATGCTTTGCAGACGGTACTCCATTTGTATTAAAAAAAATTTGTTCTTAACATTTGCCTTCCAAATTTTGATCCTGGCAGAAGATATATTATAAAACGACCCAAATAAAGGGTTAGTTTTCTATTATTCATCGACAAAAATTTATTTATTACTCTAATATCCCAATTCTAATTGTTCAGGAATTTCGAAGAAATCCAAGAAAAAGAAATTGTCTGTATCGTCGAGCGACGAAGGCGTGGATGATCCTAACCCAGGTCCTGTATCCGCAGCTTCCAAAAAGAAGACGACCAAACCTAAGGAAAAGAAGAGTGTTAAACCTACTACCCCTGACTCTAGTGAGGATGAGGGAGTTGACGACCCTACTCCCCAAAGCTCTGGTCCAATTAAGAACAACGAGCTGAACCGAGAAGATGCTCTGTCCCCAGTGATGAAAAAGGGACGCTCCAAAAGCTCTAAAGTCAAATCAAAACCGGAACCTAAGTCCAAGAAGACTGTTGCCACATCAGATAATGGGAAAAAGTCTGTGAAGAAATCCACGGAAAATTCTGCGAAGAAAAAGACTCTGAAGTCTATGTTGGATTCAAGTGATGATGAGAATGGTAGTGAGGAGAAGGAGAGGAGTGGATCTATTAGTAAGGATGAGGATGAAGAGTTGAATTCCAGGAAGAAACCTTCAATTCTCTCCTCAGATGAAGAGGAAGCAACCCCTGTAAATTCTGCCAAGAAAACTAAAAGGTTAGCAACAATTTTTTTGTTAGTTTCAACTTTCTCATTTACCCGTAATTCTATAATTAATATTAAGTCCCAAATTCGGAGGAAATTTGTGACAGGCCTTATGATTTAACAAGAAAATTTGCTAGTTGGTTTGAAAAAAAATTTAACAATTTTAAACAAATCTACCAATTTTGACTAACAAATCCCAATTCATTGTTATATAGAAAAATGGCGCATTTAACCCTTGGAATTCTGTATAATTATTTTGTCTAAAATAGTGATTTTTATTTTTTAGAATTGTCGACAGCGACAGTGAAGAAGAAGAGGCTGGTAGACCAAAGTCGACAATTCCTCAAAGAACTAGTCGTCCTTCATCTAGGAATAGTCCAGACAAGTTTTCCCAGTCCTTTGATTCAAGATTGGACGATTCAAGGATTAATAATTCAATAATAGACGATTCGAGGATCAATGATTCAAGGTTGGAGGACTCTCGTATTTCCTTTATGGACGATTCCCGTTTATCTATTGATTCTCGAGTAAGAAGTCCCAGAAGTCCGCTTTGTAGCCGTTCTCCGTCCCGCTCAGTGTCTAGGTCTAGATCTAAATCCATTTCAAGATCACCTTCACGCTCGATCTCAAGATCAAGGTCAAGGTCAACATCTCCACTTTCAAGAAGATCATCACCCACTTCAAGAAGCTCCTTCAGATCACCAAGTAGGAGTGCTCATCCATCTCCAGCTCCTATCTCGAAGGTTCGAACTCCATTATCCTTGAAGAATATTCCGAACCGAACTGCCAGGGAGAGTGAGAGAAAGAGAAAGCGTGGAAATAAGGCAGAAAGTGGAGAAGAAAATTCTCCGGTGAAGCCGAAGTCCAAGCGTAAAATGCTTGTGCAATCAGATTCAGAGTAGTGTAGTGTCAAAGTCACTTTGAATTTTAGTATGCGATATTTTTTAATTTAAACATGGCACATTCTGCTTTGAGATCCACGTGAATAATTTTAGTTTGCGCCTTTTTTCGTTTTAAATTATCTTATTCCGAATTTTAATGTACGTCAATTTAAATTTGGATTTTTAATTTGAGACATTTCTCATTTTGAATTTTTGACTTTTCATATAAAATTTTATTTTATTTTGACTTGCGCAATTTTTTATTTTCACTGCAATCTGGTTTTCAAATTTATTTTTCAGCTGATAAGACGCTCAATTTCAGAATACTGAAAAAAAGGAGATATCTTTTATCGTTTTCATATGTATTGTGTACATATATTCTTGAGTAAATTACCTTTGAAAATACGTCTTATGACGAATAAAATATTTGAATTTAATTAGTTTCTCTCTAGTTTATGTTTGGAAAATAACTGATAACCTTAGTATGTAGTTTGATCAAATTGGAAGAATATTAACACATTTAAAAGATATTTTCAAGAATTATGATAAAAGATCAGAATTCATTATTAATTTGAAAGATCTAATTAAACCCGAAGAAAATTTGTTTGTTTTTGTTTTTAAAATTCAATTGTTTATTTGAAAATTGCTAGTGGAAGAAGATAATATGTCACATGGAAGAGTAATTGTTGTGGCTCATGGTCACCTGCCTTCGCCTGCTCCATCAATTAAAGTGTTGACAGTTTTTGTGTTAAAGACCAGATTAACAAATAGTTAATATATTCTCATACTGATGATTGCATAAATGCATGAAACAATTGGTATATGGTTAAAATGTTATAAGAAGATTGTTGCGTTTCAACTGATATATATATATATGCACGATATGAAAACCTCCTAAAACTATCATTTTGGGGTTTGTTCCGTTTGTTCATAACAGCAGTTTTAAAAAACGTACTAAAACGATTAACAACAATAATTGCCATGCATCAGACTATCTATATATTAATTTGGCTTGTCTGTTTGTATCCAATAAACGTCAAAACGGCTGAACCGATCGGGCCCAAATTTTTTGTTGGACATCACGTGACCACAGGGAAGGTTCATGAATGATAAAAAAAATTTTAAAAATGTGTTTTAAAGGTTTTTATTTTTGTAAAAAAATTTAAATTTTTGAAAATCCGCGATTTTTTTTTAAATCCGCAAAAAATTTTCTTTTTGTTTTAAAATGTTAACAAAAAGAACATGTTCAAAATTTAAATAGAAGATGGGCGCTAAGCGCCCTAAAAGCCTTGAAAGAAGGGCTCAAAGCCCAGCTTCAGATCTACCAACTTCTCGTAATATTTGCCAATTAACCAAAGGATATTGTAAGAAGCTGTGAAAGAATATTTCATTTGGGGGAGGTTCGGAAGCCGGGGACGTGCACTGCCGCAAATAGGTAAAATGAGGTTCGTAAGCTGTGCGGGGAGGTTGCCTTCCCTCCCTCGTATAGTAGAATGGATCTGGAAGTCCAACTCTTATAAAAGTAATATAAGAACATTTTCATTTTGGTTGATTTTCATAATTATATCATAATCTTAGACTACGTACTTTTTTGACTTATTATGGAATGATCTATTTACATATCTGAAAAAAACATGTTATACATGTCAATTATAGATTCCTGAATACTTGTTAATTTTTCTCAACCTACCCAGTATCTTAACTCTTCAAGTTTGCTGTCCAAATTTTTAAAATGGAGTAGACCTTGAAAACCAGTGATTTTCTTTTCCAACCTCTCAACCTCTCTCTACCCATTTCATATTTCTATAAATCATGGTTCTACTCCAGGAGAATTACAGTACTATGGCAGTTAGTATCTTGCACATTTAAAAATATCACTATAAAGAAACGAATTTAAATAGTCCCTTTCCCTTGGCTAGTTTGTCGAAAAGTGCACAAGCTTAGATTAAAGAAAAAAAGCTTTAAATTACAATTAATAAAGTTGTAATTTTCAAAAGACAGGTTTAACACATATATATATTTATCTATATTTGCAGTAACCAAACGTAGAATTTAAATAAAAAATGTTACATAATTTAAATATATATAAATTTTCTATATGCCGGGGGAGGCGGAGAGACCAGCTCCCAGAAAATCGGCGACCGAAGATTTCCTAAAATAGAGAATTATGTTAATTTTGTTTGAAAATTTTTATTTAAACTGTGTATAAGCTTCAGTAAAAAACTTTAATTGAGATTTTATCATATTTTATAGAACCCCTACCCACTACTTTTATTTAGAAGTGAAATGGTAAACAGGGTTTTCATCAAAGGATGGAACTTTAATGATGAACCGAAACTCTTAAAATATGGAAGAAGATGGTTGAATTTAAACTGACTTGTACTTAATTAAGTTTCTAATAGATATAACCTAGGTAAATGTTCTAGCAAAAATAGAATAAAGTGTACATCGTTATATATTAAATATATAGCGTACAATGAATAAAAAAAACGGAATAACGTCCATACAGGCCAAAGTCCGAAATTTAAGAAAGTATCGTTTAACGAAACTCCCAAGCTTCCTTTTTGGGGTCTTTAAATTTGTGTAGATTTTGATGTAAGAGATTCGAAATAATTGGAGGATATGAAGAAACAAAATAAAATAATATTTCATAACCAAAAATAATGATATCGACAAAACTGCTTTACCCCATTAGTGATCCCGGCCCCCGGGTTCCAAAAGTTCAAAACTAGTTATCATAACAATACCCTGGTTTAAGTTTTGGGCTCTGAGCCCAAAATTTAAAAGAGTATCGTTGAACGAAACTCCCGAGTTTCCTGTTTGGGGTCTAAACATTTGTGTAGATTTTGATTTAAAAGATTCGAAAAAAATAGAGAATATTAAGAAACTAAAGAAAATAATATTTTATAACACAAGTATTGATATTCAGAAAACTGCCAATTACCCCATTTATGAAACCCGGGTTCTAAAACTGGTTTTCATAACGATACCCTGTCTTAAGTTTTGGGCTCAGGGGGGTTGGTAGTTAACTGCCTGTCCTGCTATTCAGCTTAAGTGTACACTTAAGACTATTAACTGTTGATAGATGTAAGAAGATTATGGCCTAATAATTCAGTACAACATGAAATATACCTTAAACTTTAATGGTTAGGGTGCAAGGGAGGCTCCAAAAAAGTTCAAAAAATGCGCCAGAAAAATGTTGAAAATACTTATTTTTTACTTTTGACAAATAATAACATGTGACACATTACAACAACGTTTCAAGGGCTTCAAAAAAGTTTAAACTTAGATTTTTTAAACACCGACCAGCCAGTCGACCGTCCTCCATCTTACCCTATGAATAAAAAAAGTTTTTTTCCAAAATTTGCTCACAACTATGAGATTGAAAAAGTGTAAGTGTAGTGTAGGCACTTAAGTAATTGTAAATTGGCAGTTCAGTCCAAACTATGACCGCATAAGGTTGACCCTGCTCGGATATTCAAATGTACACCGGTTGGGCGTGACTAAAGGATTTAGACTTGAAACTAAGATTTTAAATCTTTAGAATAAATCTATTTTTAAGGACTAATAATAAATATTTTATACCTATGAACAGCCTCTAATCTATCATGAGCCTCTTGCGTGGCCTCTACATCATCATCCTAGATATATAGATAGATAGATAGATATTAGATTTATTAAATATGAAAAATAATAAATAGAAAGGTATAAAAATAAAAAGATATGTATAGATAAATAGATTGATAAAGATAAATAGATAGATATAGATGGATAGATAGATAAAGATAAATAGATAGATATAGATAAATAAATAGATGAAGATCAATAGATAGATATAGATCAATAGATAGACATAGATAATAGATAGATATAGATAAATAAATAGATAAAGATAAATAGATAGATATAGATAAATATATAGATAATTATAAGATAAAAATTAAAATGTATTAATGCTTACAAATATAAATATTAATAAACAAAACTTATCAATAGAGAGAAAGTTAGACAGATAGAGAGATAATACTCAAGAGGGCATATTAAGATTTTCTCAATATCTCGCACGCGCGCTAAAATCAGGTGTGCGCAGATTCTTCCTTTTCTATGTTAATCTATATTTTGATCTTGTACCCAAAATCCACATAGATCCAGACTGTTATAAAACTTGCATTCATTTTTACTATGGAGTGTCTCAATTCATTGGGCTTTGATCTTACCGCACTTCCTTTTTCAAGCCCTGGACATATTACCTTCAGAACTGTCCAGAACTTGTTTTAATTTAGTATAAAGAAGTAATTGGCAAAATTGTCAAGGATGTTTGCATTATTAGGATGATCGACCGTATACCTCATCATCTGAGAGTCTGTGACAGAACTTCTTATTATTGATCCACTCCTCTCTCAAGCTGAGATTAAACATGGAGAAAGCAGGATCCCCAGTCACCTTTAAACACATTTATATTAAAAAGGGACTGTACACGAAATTTGAAGTGAACCTTAATTTGGAGAGTGGCATGTCCGATTAATGACAGTATCGTGTCTGATCAAGAATTAAGTAGATTTGGATTTTTGCTGCAAAAAAAAAGGAAATTGTCAAAATTTAACGCTTGTAAAACGACGACATCTTCGTCATCACAGATAAATATTTAAAGGGTCCGTTGTGAATTGGGCGTGTCTCTTTAAACTGGAGACTCACTTGAAAATACTTTAACACTCTACAGACTACACACAGTCTCTCATATTGAAACATTTTACAAGTTTTTAATTATCTAGAGAATAGTCAGCATTCTACAGATAATAAGTTCACATTCTACCTGTAAGATGACCTTTGTACCTGTAGGATGACCTTCTACCTGTAAGACGACCTTCAACCTATAGGATGACCTACTACCTGTAGGATGACCTACTACCTGTGGATGACCTTCTATCTGTAGGATGACCTACTATCTGTAGGATGACCTTCTACTTCTAGGATGACCTTCTATCTGTAGGATGACCTACTACCTGTAGGATGACCTACTACCTGTAGGATGACCTTCTACCTGTAGGATGACCTACTACATGTAGGATGACCTACTACCTGTAGGATGACCTTCTACCTGTAGGATGACCTACTACCTGTAGGATGACCTACTACCTGTAGGATGACCTTCTACCTGTAGGATGACTTTCTTCCTGTAGGATGACTTTCTACCTGTAGGATGACCTTCTACCAGTAGGATGACCTTCTACCTGTAGGATGACCTTCTACCTGTAGGATGACCTTCTACCTGTAGGATGACCTTCTACCTGTAGGATGACCTTCTACCTGTAGGATGACCTACTACCTGTAGGATGACCTTCTACCTGTAGGATGACCTACTACCTGTAGGATGACCTACTACCTGTCAGATGATCTACAACATGTAAGATGACCTGATACCTGTAAGATGACCTACTACCTGTCAGATGATCTACAACCTGTAAGATGACCTGCTACCTTTAAGATGACATGCTACCTTTAAGATGACCTGCTACCTGTATAGTGACTTACCACTTGTAAGATGATCTACTACCTGTAAATGACCTACTACCTGTAAGAGGATCTACTAGCTATAAGATGACCTACTACCTGTAAGATGATCTACTAGCTATAAGATGACCTACAACCTATTAGATGACCTACCACCTGTAAGATCACCTGCTACCTGTAAGATGACCTACCAGCTGTAAGATGAACTACTAGCTGTCTGTAAGATTACCCAGTACCTGTAAAATGACCTGCTACCTGTAAGATGACTTGCTACCTTTAAGATGACCTACTACCTGCAAGATGACCTGCTAGCTTTAAGATGACCTACATCCTGTGAGATGACCTCCTACCTGTAAGATGACATACTACTATGTATAATTATGACCTCGTACCTCCTGATCAATGTTGAGGAACTTGGGAAGTCTGTCAATGACCTCATTAGGTGCTAAGGTGGTGTAGGTCTCTATAAGCATTAGACCTTTACATCTAGGATGGCAGGGATCCTTGTAGATATCCAACTAAACATTTAATATTAGAAACATTAGCAGGAATCATAGTAGATATTCAACTAAACAATTAGTATTAGAAACATTAGCAGGGATCCTTGTAGATATCCAACTAAACATTTAGTATTAGAAACATTAGCAGGAATCCTTGTAGATATCCAACTAAACATTTAGTATTAGAAACATTAGCAGGAATCCTAGTAGATATCCAACTAAACATTTAGTATTAGAAACATTAGCAGGGATCCTTGTAGATATCCAACTAAACATTTAGTATTAGAAACATTATAGCAGGAATCCTAGTAGATATCCAACTAAACATTTAGTATTAGAAACATTATAGCAGGAATCCTAGTAGATATCCAGCTAAACATTTAATGTTAGAAACATTACAGCAGGGATCCTTGTAGATATCCAGCTAAACATTTAATATTAGATGTTAGGTAATTTCGAAGGGCGACGAATTATTAAAATTTCTTTTGACACTTATAAGTAAAATTCGAAAAAAAAAATTCAAATTTTTTATCACTGCCAACGTCGGGCCCTTCAGCTAGTTTTAAAATATTTTCGGTTATTCATTACTACGAACAAGCTGTGATTTTGTTTCTAACAGTGTGATTGTGATTTTACCTGAAAATACTGGTTATTGTAGAGAAAACATCTTCTAATCTTATTTACAGTCAGATGCAGGGGATCCTGCTGATCCAGTAGATGGGTGTAATCCCTAAACATAAATTGGATTAAAGGGATCTAGTAGATGGGTGTAATCCCTAAACATAAACTGGATTTAAAGGATCTAGTATGTGGGTGTAATCCCTAAACATAAACTGGATTCAAGGGATCTAGTAGGTGGGTGTAATCCTTAAACATAAACTGGATTTAAGGGATCTAGTATGTGGGGGTAATCCCTAAACATAAGCTGGATTTAAGGGATCTAGTAGGTGGGTGTAATCCCTAAACATAAACTGGATTAAAGGGATCTAGTATGTGGGGGTAATCCCTAAACATAAACTGGATTTAAGGGATCTAGTAGGTGGGTGTAATCCCTAAACATAAACTGGATTAAAGTAATCAAGCAGATGGGTGAAGTCCCAGTACAGAAACTAAGGGTTCGAATTTAATCCCAAAAAGAGCTGATATATATTATACAAACTATTTCTTTTAAGGTTGAACAAAAAGTTTTCTTGGCACCGAATTTTCATCTATTTGACATTGACATTGATATTCTCACCTATGAGTTAGAGGAGTTTTAACTTCAATAACCTGCCCAGAAACCTGAAATGGAAGGTTAAGTTAGAATTATTATTAGAAAAGGGTTTAGAGTCGGCCTAAAAGTCTAGTATTTCAATTCTTACTGATAAACTTGATGGGAATAAAGTGAAAATGAAAACCATTTATCCAAAGATAACTTTTCAAATTGAGTTTTATTTATTTCATATTTTTGGAATTTTTCCGGGAAAAATTAACAAAAAGTTTTATCTCTCCATAATTTCAGACTTATTTCTTTTTTGATTAATGTGAAATAGGACTTATATAACTTGTTTGAATTTCTACTATTGTCTATAAAGTAAATAATTGTAACTGCATGTAGATACTCTAATTACGACTTTTAATAAAAATACAAAGTACTGGTCACAAAAAAATCCGCCTTTGATATTTTTACATGAAAATCAGAAAATCAATTTCCTTTTAGACTCGGGTTTCAGTGGAATAAACAATTCCTTATCTAAAAATGAATATTACAAGACGAAATTTGACTTTTTCAACAAAATTCTCAAGTTTTAAATATGAAATTTAAAGTGTTTTTGAAATGTAAAAAAAAAATAATAGAAAAGTTCAAAGTGATTTTTTTTTCGGTGTACAAATATAATTTTGAATTTTTGTAATAAACCCAAATGATTTTAAAACTACAGAAATTTAAAAAAAATTTAAATGTTTTCTATTAACTTCAGTATTTTATGTCATCAAGACTGTTTTCATCATTTACGAAATAATAAAAATGTAATTTTTTCCGCTCATAAATAAATTAATTCCATTTTGGAATTCTGAATGACATGAAACAATGAATAGGTACAAATAGACTGGGTTTTCCCTAAACATATATATATTTTTTTTACGTCGTCGTTGAAATGTGAAAATGTGCGAGAAAAAAATAAGAAAATGTGAGTAAAGTAGGGGTGATCAATATTGGAATTGAGCCAACCGCCCGGGCACCGTAGGTCGCTGCGTTTTCACTTAAAAAAAATATTGCAATCAAAAAAATTTTCAAAATCGTCCATAAGGTTGCGATCTGACGATTTAATATTTAGGCCACAAAAAAAATTATTTTTTATTTTCATGTTATACATAATTTTCTTGGAAATTTAATGCTGAATTTAAATCTGAAAAGCGTTTTAAAAAAATTGAAAATTCAGTGAGTTAGAGGTAAAAAACTCATCGAAAACATTAACAAGTTAAAAACCCGGAATTTAGTACCGTTTTTTGGCCATAACTTCTTTAGATTTAAATATTTTTAAAGGGAGTGTTCGCGAAAAATGAATTTGCTGTATGCGATAAAAAAGCGCTTTTGATCGCTACGTATCTTACTTCTATCTGTTGCTTCTATAAGGAGAAAATTGTTAAAAACGACTTACACTGAAGAACGTAGTGTCCATACAAATTCAGAAAGATGCAACATTCAACTCGGATCGTAAGCAAATCAATTTAATTCCAAACAAATCATTCAGATATTACAAACAATAGTCATCGATTATTTTTCGTCGCATTCGTAAATAGTTAATATTTTGTATTTTTCATGATCTGAGTTACTTTTGAAAACATTTATTCTTGTTTCGAGGATTTTTGATAATGAAGACGACATTTTCATATTTTCCAGGAATGTTTGAAAATCCAGCGCCGGCAAAAATTATTTAAAAAAACAAAATCAAAAATATTATGAAATATTAACTATATACGAATGCGTCGAAAAATAATCGATGACTATTGTTTGTAATATCTGAATGATTTGTTTGGATTTAAATTTATTTGTTTACGATCCGAGTTAATGTTGCATCTTTCTGAATTTGTATGGACACTACGTTCTTCAGTATAAGTCGTTTTTAACAATTTTCTTCCTATAGAAGCAACAGGTAGAAGTAAGATTAGTAGCGATCAAAAGCGCTTTTTTATCGCATGAAGCCTATACCCCCTTTCATTTTTCGCGAACACTCCCTTTAAGAATGGTTTTCGAATCTGAATTCAGCATGAAATTTCCAAGAGAATTATGTATCATATTTACTTTTTTGAATATTTGTTTATGCCTTACGGCGATTTTTCCGATATTAAATCCTCAATTCGCAACCCTATGGACGATTTTGAATTTTTTTTCTGATCACAATATTTATTTTTAAGTAAAAACGCAGCGACCTCATGTGGGCGTCTGGCTGATTTCTAAAAAAATCACAAATCAATCACCCTTACTGTATAGGGTATTAAGGTAAATAAAGTGTTAACAGTAATGTAAGTGATAAAAAAGGGACCGTTCATCATTTTGAGAAATATTAAGGAAAACATTTTGGATCGCTTTTTATTTTTGTTTAAATATTACTTAAAACAGAACAATTGTTCTGTTACTAAATCTTTACAATTCAGTGTGAAGATTATTATAAATATATATTTTTATATATAATATATATGGGATTTATATATTCATGAAAAAAAAGTAAATTTTGTTTTTGCCTTCAAAAGAAGAGTTTAAGGAGTTGAAAAAGATAATTATGTATTTAGAAATTAAGCCTATATTAAATCAAAGTAATAATTTTAAAGTATTTTCATGTATGAGATAATCTTAATTTTCCTTTAAACTGCAAAAAAATGATTTTTAATAAATAAGTTTTCTTTACAATAAATCTAGGAAAATGATGTAATGTTTCCCCTAAATCTCCTAATATGATGAGGGGCCCCTGTTAAGGGACTATTAGCGAAATATAACATGACAATCCAAAAAAAAGAGTTGATTCACAACTGTTTCCCGGCCGTATCAATTTATCAAATTTTAGATAGAAAAACAAGAATATTTTTATCATTTTTTGAATAAGAAAGTTAACCCTTTAAATTGGGTGTTATCTTGAAATTAAGTTAACAGTCCCTTTTAGGAAATAAATAAATGTGATTGAGTGATCTGTCTGAAAATCTGATAATAAATATTACCCCGCCAGCTTGACTGGGAGTCTAAACAAATTATTGTTAAATATTTTTTCAACATTTAATTAATCTTTTTTAGAAACTGAAGTAATACAAACTATTATTTTTTTATTATAAAACTCAACCGACATATATTTTAAAATTTACTCGTCTCACATATATACATTGCAAACACATTAATTTGTTTTCACATTGTACTCATTACACCCCCCCCCCTTCAAGCACTGATAACTCATATTAATCTTGAATTTTCTACTCTTCGCAACCTGATGTTGCAGAGCTTTGATATTGTAAACTAAGAATGTTGTTAAATCATATACACATAAAAAAGACTTAAGACCGTTCATCATCAGGTTGCAAAAATAAAGACATTCAAACATTTTTTTCATTTCTAACATTTTCGGCTAAACCCCTCTGATAATTTGATAAAGTCTCAACTTGCGCCTTTTCACATATCTAAACACAGATATAAACATCAAAGTAGTACACTGTACAATGTATATATATGTACAATATATACGGGAATTGTTCATGTACCTGTTTCCTGATGGTATGGATGTACGACCATTTCCCAAGTCGACCCCTCTTCCGTAGTCTACTCTGCATAGTCCTGCTGGCAGTTTGCAGGTAGTGGTGCACAACCTAATACATAATAATTATTTTACTAGGGAAGCTATACTAGGATACAGGGGAAGTTAGTTCCAAACCGGGATTGGGATCAGGTTTGGAACAATGGCACGGTTAGTAATTTACGTCCCCTGGAATAAGAAGATACTATATTTGCAATAGTTTATTTTTTATGATTAATCTTTTCATTTTCTATACATTTACTATTAATACTGTACCTCAAAGTGTAAATCATTGTACAGTGTATGCTGTACAATGTACATGAAGTGCAAACTGCAAATACATTGCAAAGTTTTAAATCAGTATAAAGTGATCTGCCCACTGTACAATGTACATGTAGTGTATGTTCCGTATCTCAAAGTCTCTAAATCATTCTACAGTGTACTGTACATTATACAATGTAGATTTAATGTAATTACCGTACCTCAAAGTCTCTAAAGCTTGGGAATGATGAATCTGGTGGCAGAGGTCCACTGATAGCAAACTTAACCTTCCTTGCATTCACCTACACACATTTATTTATTTATTACTATTAGCTGAAGTGCCCGGCGTTGCCCATGAATTAAAAAGAAAATTTAAAATTTTCAAAGAAAAATATTTTCGAAATTTTTTTTTCGATTTTTGAAAAAATTCGAATTTTGTTTAGTCTTTGTTACCCCCCAGGGTACCCACGAGTTTCCTAAAAAAAAATCAGCCCATTCGGTCCCGCCGTTTGGCCAGCTGTAGCTAACATATATATATATATATATATATATATAAACACTGTGTCTATGGATATATATATATATATTTCAGTTTTTAACTTCACATTTTTATTAAATAAAGAATGGGATCCTTGTATCAAAACACTGTGTCTATGGATATATATATATATATTTCAGTTTTTAACTTCACATTTTTATTAAATAAAGAATTATACTAAACATAATGTTTCACGTCTATCATGACGATCCTCAGTAGTTACAATACTTTGAACATTTCTTCGATTTACAATAACGCATAAATAATTGTAGTTTCAAGGGTTGTCTTTCGTTCAATTTTTCAAAAAACCATGGTTTGGTCCGAACTGAATATTTTCTATGCTATTTTATAAATTTGTGCTGTGCATGGCTCCGACAACAGGTTGGAATAGTAGAAAAATAGAATATGTGTTCAGCTCTTTTAAAGAATAAATAAACCTAAAGGGAGTCACCGGCAATGTATGGTAGTTGAACCGAGAATGTAGTATTGTAGAGACATTTTTTAGGAATCTGTGAGATTTTAGTTTTACGCATATGTGTTCAGCAATAACGCAAATTCAATCTTTAGTTGTTTTGGAACAGAATGAGAAAACAAAAATTAACTCGTCTCATCCAAAATAAGCAATCTTTTTCAGCTATCAGTTTCTGTAATATTTGGTGTTCACAAACATTTACTGTAGATTTCTTGGAATTTGTATTGGAAAGAGGACATATAAAAAAATCTGAAAACAAATTTATAACGAATAATCGAAATTCAATATAATGATGATAAAGAAATAAATGATTCTACCATTGATTTCTTCACAAATTTCTATTGAGAAATATGTCCCTAAAGAACTAATCTATATGTGTAATTTTTCGTTTATATATGTACATATTTGCTTGTATATATATATATATTTGTAGATGATTTAACAATGATTTTTTAAATCTAACATTTTAAGGAAATTGTTAAAAATTGACGAGTTTTTAACAATTAACTGATAAGTTTTACCTTAAGACGATCTCCAATATGTATTCCCATCTTAACAGCAACACAGCTGATCAGACGGTTAATCTTGTTCTCAAAATCGCTAAATAAAAAAATGTAAATAAATTAACATATTTGCTAATAATAAATTAACAAATTTGCTAATAATAGATTAACAAATTTGCTAATAATAAATGAATCTGAAATTATCAAGTTCTTTATAATTTTTCCTGTTTTTGAAAAACCCCTTTATGACAAGAAAAATCTGTATCCAGAATATAATCACAGAGAATAAAACTTCAGAGACATCTGTATATTAAATTTATTCATTCTACATTATTTGATATTCATGTTTTCCAGTAACTTAAAACTTGTTTCTTTTATGCCAAAACATTAAAAGACTACAATTAAAGATTTTCATTTTAAGTCCTATCTGTGTAGGCAGGCAGATAACCTTCTGCCAGAAAGCTGCGACTTTCGATCACAATTTGACCGATTAAACATAATTTTTTAGCCTTTTCCCTTTCGCACTTTTTGTCTGAATTGCGATAAAAGTATTAAAAGATTTATGCTGTAAATTTTAAGATGAGTGAATAATGAATTATAGACTAAAACGTGATTCAATTAAAATGGATAAAACTGAACGCATCTTGACCTTGTTAATCCATGGGTTACCCTGCGTATTTAAATAATATACAGGGTGTCCCAAAAAAAACGTGGGAATTCAGTGACGAATTCGTTATCGTCTTTGGTTTGAATTAGCTTCTAACCTAACTTCTAAAGCCATAATATTATCATGTCTGCTAGAGTTTATTTTATGAAAAGTGTAAAAGACTGTAAAGATGTGTCTACAATGTCTCCGGAAGATGAACAGTGAAGACGGACAAGTTTATTCTATTTGTATACTGTAATTTTACAACCGTATTCAGTCAAAACATAAACAAACAAAATGTGAAACTCTTACAAATTACAGCTTTCTCATTAGGTATCACTATACTAAATCAAAGAATTATTTAAAAAGACGATATCGAATTCGTCACTGAATTCTCATGTTTATTGGGACACCTTGTAAGTTTGTAACGGCAATATATATATACTAGCCTTAGAGGGCGCTTCGCGCCCATCTTCTAAATTAGTTGTGAACATGTTCTCTTTGTGTGCATCGTAAAACAAAACAAAAATAATTCGCGGATTTTCACAAAAAATTTCGCGGATTTTCAAAATTTTTAAAAATTTAATGACGACCGAATTTTGGTGGAGACAAATATTTGAAATTTTGATTTTTCATAAACCTTCCCTGGGGTCCTTAGATGTCCCACAAAAAATTTGGGCCCGATCGGTTCAGCCGTTTTGACGTTTATTGGATTCAAACAAACAAACATAAAAACAGACAAACAGACAGACAGACAAGCCAAATTTATATATAGATATATATATATATTTGATAAGAAAAACACGGATTATGTTCTACCTGTTGTTATCTATAATATCTACATAAGGATGTCCAATCCAAGCTTCAGCTGCCCTTGTATCTCTTTCCCTTGCCTCCTCTAACCCTTCCTTTCTAGATAAAAACTAAATTAATTGTCGTCTTTGATAAGGAACTGATAAGACGTGTTTTAACAATTATAGTCTAATGTGCTAAAATTTTTAGATGGATCCTGATGTACCTTTTTTAAGGAAACTATAAAAGAAGTATCTATTTTAACAATTTTTTAAATATAACTTTTTTTTCATTTAATGGCTATTTTTTATAATTGACCACACGTCTGCGACTTCTTGCTGTTCCTCTTCTAAAAGAAGTAAAAAAATCGCCCTTAAGTCTGATTTTAATCTTAAATTACAAAGTCTAACCCTCAACATTTGAGTAAGAATGTTTTTTAATTTGAATTATTTTCTAAATTTCGAACAAATTCGCTGAAAAATTTATTAAGAAAGACACCCAAATTTTATTGTAATTCTATATATAAAAACTTTTAAATGCCTCAGGATAAGTAAACCAAATGTTTTTGCTTTCAAAATTCATAATACAGGGTGTCCAAATAAAAATAGGAATGAAGTGACCAATTCTATATTGTCGTTGTTTCGCGCGGCGTCATTCTATGAACACAATTTAGTAGCATCCCAGTTGAAACAATCAACATTAAAAGCTACTAGTATCAGCTATTCCAATTTTGCGCCATCATTGTTGACGGAGATTTTTAGAAATCTTTCCAGATTTCAAGTTATTAAAAAACAGCAAAATTGTTCAAATTATTAATATTTCCGCGAATTTTAAAGATACATATGATACACTTCTTGCCTTTAATCAAGTATCAGATTTTCAAGTCATCTCTTAATTCCCATGTTTATTGGACACCCTGTAGTTTTTACCTTGTCGCATGATCATCAATGGAATAGAACCTCTCAGCTCCCTTCGCCGAAGTTACCAAATGGACAACTTGGTGATAACGGTTATCCCTAATATCAACCTTAATAATAGTAAAAATAGTATTTAAAAAATTAATAATACCCCCTCGGTCATACCCCTCGATCTTACCTCGTCGCACCCGTTCTTGAGAAGGATCTCTTCCCACTCCTCCTTCGAGACGAACGCCGAGGCGTCCATCGTCCCTCTGAAATTCAGACAAATTTTTTCTAAATACAAAATTTAAGTTTTTGTGCGAGCATGTTTTTTCATAATTTCACATATTTACCAAAATAAAAAAAAATTTATAAAAAAAACATTTTCTGTGGTTTACCTCAATTAAAAATTGTAAATTATAATTTAAAATTGTTGCAACCGACATACAGGGTTACCCACAAAGGATGAGACTGCGGAGAATTATTACTTAATGTTTACTCATAAAATAATAATTCCCTTCAGCTATAAATTTGTTTCTTTCCTTGCGAAATCATTAAATATATTTCAAGAGTTTCAGGTCGTCTTCAAATCTATGGTGGGTAACCCTGTATTTCTAAAACTGGTTACGGGGCACCCTGTTTAGATATTTTAGAATAAAAAAACGACTACGACAAAAACTCTACTGTTTTCTTGTTAAAACTTAATTTCTCTTTATTTTTAAAATTTAAATTTAAACACTTTCAAAATGGAATTTGTATTTTAGTTAATAATAATGTGGTTTTGACATTTTTTTTAATGTTACAAATTTAGTTATTTTACAAGTCTGGGAAGAAATCATCATCTTTGGAGTACTATCGGAGACCCCCTTTCATTGGAGACCCCCCATGGACGTCTCGTTGGGGACCCGCAGATTCTCGTTGGAGACATCATCTTTACATTGTAGACCCCAGATTTTCATCGAGATTTGAGACCCCATATTTTCGTTGGAGACCCCCAGATTCTCTTAGATACCCTCATATTTTCATTAGAGACTCTTAGATTTACATTGAGACCCCATATTTTCGTTGGAGAAGTCCATATTTTCATTGGAGTTATTTCCATGGAAAAGTCCATATTTTTATTGGAGACTCCCATATTTTCGTTGTAGAAGTCCATATTTTCAATGGAGACCCCATAATTTTGTTAGAGACTGCCATATTTTCGTTGGAGACCCCCAAATTATCATTTGAGACCCTCATATTTTCATTGGAGTCCCCATTCTTTCGTTGGAGACGTTGGGGCTCTTCAATGAAAATGTGGGGATCTCCAACGGAAATATGGGGGTCTCCAACGAAAATATGGGGGTCAACAACGAAAATATGTGGGTCTCCAACAAAATAATGGGGTCTCCTACGAAAATATGGGGTCTTCAATGAAACTCTTGGGGTCTCCAATGTAAAGATGAGGTCTCCAACGAGAATCTGGGGGTCTCCAATGAGACGTTAATGGGGTCTCCAATGAAAGGGGTCTCCAATATAGAACTTCAATGATGATGATTTCTTCCCAGACTTATTATTCTACCTGTCACAAATTATGAGACAGTTTCGCTCACTCGCCTCTGCAAGAGCGAAAAAAGAGTTCTCGATCTGTATCATGGTTCTTAACAGATTTTCCTGGAAACAAGTATTTTTGTAAACGACTTTATTTAACTTAAAAGAATTTAAGTTTTTGACTTTTATAATAATATTTTTTAATATTCTTTAGTTAGGTTCATGAGTGCTTCCAATAATATCTATAAAAATATTGTTTCTTCACATTCTTCAGTACAAATATTAATCTTTAAAAAATGTAAGACGACAATTGGGAAGAAATGCGGGTAAACCTGAAACTCCGTGGCAGCGTACTGTGGGAGCTCAGCGAAGTTGACGCCGCCGGCCAACAAAACCGTCGCCGTCTCCGGTACCCTTTACCAGATAATTCATTAGAATATGAATAAATGTATAAGACGTGTCCTACCTGTACACTTTCCAACCCAAGTTCTCAAAGAAGGTTGAGAGTCGGGCCTGCCCGGTAGTTTTGCCCCCACAGGGACCTCCGGTCAAAACTAGTTTCCAGATCTTTCGCTTCTTCTGCTCCGCCTAAATCAGCTGATTTGAAAAAAATTCAAAATGGCCACTAAAATGGTAAAAAAGAAAACAGAGTTAACATGTTATACTTTCGACCCCTACCCTCCTCTCATGTGTGGATATAAAATAAACACACTATTCCAGGTTAGGTTAGATTAAAATAGTTTGAGATAGTCACTATGGTTTCTGTTTTGTAAAAGTAGAGTGGTGAGGGGGGGAAGGCATGGTCCAGGCGACATGTAATAAAAATTAACCAAACAAAGTTTTTCTTGAAAAACAAAAAAATAAGAAATGGCGCTCATACCTTTTTTGTACAAAATAATGGATTTTTGATATTTCTAGTTTCGCATTTTCCTGTTGTGTCCGGTACTCCCATTTTTAATGATCTTTTACTACCATTTCGTATTAAGATACAGTATAATATTGTTGGATAATAAATGGTTAAATAATATATATAATAATATGTGTATAATAATAACTATTTATAACACTGTTATTTTGGTTCGCAGTGCTATAAAGTTGTGGACAGAAATTTTCTCTTTATCGAAAACCTTCAAGATAAAGAGCAAATTTAAGTCCAAAAACTGCATAGCACGTTGCACCAAAATAACAGTGTTATAGGTAATTTTATGAAACTATTGTGGACTTGTCTTGATACAATGGGGTTACTTATGAGCCTCAGCCTATTTGGTTGAGTTTAATAACTCATATTACAAAATAGGATTCATGAAATAAGTTAAATTTGATTTTTATCAATGTGCATCTAATGCCATGTTACAAATCTTAAAAAATTTCGAAAGAAACCGGGAACCAACATCGAAACCCCTCAAAGCTCAGTCGATCTCAGTATTTTAAAAGAGGAGGATGTCGATCCTAAGCGATATTGAGGCTTTAGAAAGTATTAAAGAAAAGAGCCGCCCTCTGTATGTAAAGAGCTGGAACCAGTTTAAAGAGTATTTCCAAGCTGATGAACTAGAAACTCAAGCTCCGAGTGAAACCCAGTTTTTTTCTTATTTCAAGCATCTGAGAGTCGAAAAGAATCTCTCTGGATTTTGTACTCTATGATTAGCATCAATTGTCAAGGCTTAGTATGGGAAAAAGGTTCAGGTGTATCCCAGAGTTTCAACCTAACTAAAATCCTTCAACGGCGATTTGGCTGGTCGTAAAGCTCTTGTTGTTGTTCCTACTTTGGAGGTCTTAAGAGGGTTGAAGTCATGGATCTGAGGCTAGATTTTTCTAACCACAAGGATCGAGTTTTCTTTGTTCATGAGCGTGTGAAACAGAGAACATACAAGCAATTCTCAAAGTTTTTAGTACCTAGAGGATCAACTGGAAAGACTGATTGGGCTAAGATACTTGAAACCTTTCTACCTAAAGTACAAGATGATCTTCAAAAGTTAAGAAACTAAACCTTCTGCTACTGATTTTGGTTTGACCCCAGCGCAGATGACCGATTTTTTTGTAACATACAAGCAGGAATGCTGTTAATCACATGGCCACATTACTGAATAACAATGAATCTACTCCAGCAGGAGAATGCGGTTTAGTACAAAAAATGAATGAGGAGCAATTATTGATTATCAAGATTCTTCAGTAAGGCAAGATATCATGAAGGTCCAGAACAGCTTCTCAGAGACTCATTCCATGCACGGCATGGATATAGCAAAAATTATTCATAGCAATGAAAGGGTCATCATTGTGAACACACTGGAGGGAAATGTAAATATGTAATGTTTGAAAAGAGTAAAATTGTTTTTTGTAGTGTTTTCATTGTATTAAATATTTAAATGTTTTTAAAAATAAAAAATGTAGCTTCACAAATCTCAAAACATTTATTAAAAAATCCGGAAATCAATCAAACTTTATGGTACAGTGCTATAATATACAGTAATTTTACATTATAGCACGATGATTACTTTATACCACTGTTATACAAACATTATAGCACGATAATTACTTTATAGCACTGTTTTTTCAACATTATAGCACAATGATTTCTTTATAGCACTGTTATAAGGAAATTTAGTATAAAGTGAGCATATATGCATGGTAAAGTGCACAATAATAGTTTCAAAAAAATTGCATCAAATGCAAAAGTAAAATTGTATATATTTAAACACTAATTATCCCAATCAGTCATATTTCGGAATAAAATTCCCAAAGTGCTCACCCTCAACTAAGCTTTCGGTGCGTTCTGTAGTAATTTGCAGTACACTGACCGAAGATATAATAGCGTTCTGTGGAGAGTTTACTAATGTGTTGTTGCAAGAAAGAAAATTGGCTTGAACTCTGCATCTACTACGCATATCTACACCAGGAGACCCCATTGTTTTGTTGAACATTAAGGTGTACTGCAGATTCAGGGAGTAAAGTAAACAAATAGCTGTAGTACACTTTAATTGTTATCAAAGATATGGGGGGGGGGGGTTCTTGTACTTTTTCCATAGTAAAACGGTAAACTGTAATTTCAACTTTACATTTTACTTATAAACTCTAAACTTTAAACTGCAGTACACTTGAAGATATGCACGTGATGTTTATTTTGCAGTACACGGCAGTACACGGTACACTGTACAGTTTATTTTGAATGAACTAACAGTGTGAAACTTAATATTTCTCAACTATGACTGTTATATATCTATTTATAATATATTGTAACATTACCCCGACCCCCTACTAAGAATTGGAAAAGTAACATTACCCTATCACGCAGTGACGTAGAATTTAACGGCTGTCCCAAAAATTAAAATCAAAAATCTTCTATTTTTTATGAAAGTGTGTCCAAAAATAATTTTGATGGCTGCAGAACATTCTAACTTGAAAGTTTAGATCTTGTTTAATTAATGAGTGAAAAATATCTTGGGACACTCCGTGGCAAGGGTCTCCAAGGCCGTGGGGTTTGAGGGTTGGGTTTTTAGGGATGGGGGTGGGGCAATGACTCGTCTGCCCCGGCCAGGTGATTGCAAACCGAGGGAGGTGGGGGGAGGGTGGATCATGTCAGGTGAAAGGACTACGGCGGGATGGGTCAGAATGTTACGACGCAGAAAATTTAAAGGGATTGATTAACATTTTCGTCGAAGCACTTATACAGGGGGACCCGCAAAGAATGATACTGTATAAAGACGACCTAAAAATATGAAAATATGACGACCCTAAAAGTAAATTAAATCGCCTGCCTTAAATATAGACAAATTACTTAAAACTCTAGTTATTCTAATCAATGTATAATTTATTTTGCATAAGATAAAATCGCACCATGATCTCTAATAGTTCTCCTTAAATCTATTTAATTGAAATGTGTTGTTATCATTATTGAAATTAGATGGAAAAAATAATCAAAACAGCCAAGAGCTATTTTCCACCTAATTGCTTTATACTTGTACTGTTAATATAATCATCAATTTGTAATTGTAAACTCGTTCTGTATACAGATACATGTATTTTAGCAATAAACGTTATCTATCTATCTATCTATCTAGATTTTAAAGGCTTATTTAATGATTTGGCAAAGTAAGAATTACGTTTACCATTGCAGGCAATCATGAATTTAAGAAAGTATAAATTACGCACAGTCGTCTCCGAAGTCTCATTCTTTTTGGGTAACCCTATTTCTACCCGAAAACGATATTTAAAAATCTTTTAGTTTTACAGTAAATTCACTTGGTAGAATTGACGTGAAATATAATTATTGAATGCAAATATAAAGTCGAGACCTTGGCTTTATAAAGTTTAACTTTGACGTATAATAGCTTTAATTATTTGTCATTCTTCATGTTCACATTTACAATTTACAACACACCAGCAAAATGAATGATCCTAATTTTTATTATATGCAACTCTAGGTTCTGTAGAAGTGAAAGAATTCAGCAAAATTTAGCAGTTTTCAGATATAAACACATTTCCAATGTTTCGTCAACATATATGTATTGATGTTCATATTGAATGTTTAGAGGTTTGATCTTTTGTGCTTGTGAATCCCGGGATCAAGTATTGATCGGCATCTTATCCAGATCTGCGTATTAATATAAAACCTCTTTGATATCCCGGGATCAAGTATTGATCTTCATCTTAACCAGATCAACAGATTAATATAAAACCTCTTCGGTATCCCGGGATCAAGTATTGATCTTCATCTTAACCAGATCAGCAGATTAATATAAAACCTCTTCGGTATCCCGGGATCAAGTATTGATCTTCATCTTATCCAGACCTACGGATAAATTTAAAAAACATCTTCGGTATCCCGTGGCATGGTCATACCATGGGACAACTTGAATTGAGGAATTAAGCATTTATCCTTCAATTCAAAGGTGTCCACATTGGATATCGAGATCAAACGTTCAAGATTAAGGATACTCCACACAATAGTTCTAACCTCTGAGCTGATATTTATCTGAATGAATAAAAACTAAGAATCTGTAGATTAAGGATTCCTGACCACGTGAATTATATTAATATCAACATCTTAGTGTTAACAGTTGGGAAGATATGAACAAGAACTGCTTCATGAATTGTTAGAAACATTTAGACATTTTTACACCACCTTCTGAAAATCTGAGGAAAAGATGAAGAATCGAGATGGGAATCTGACCGAAAAGTTTATGCAAAAAATACTGGATAGTATTAGCTGCACCTGTCTTGTACAATACTTAGTAATCTGTCTTGTTCTATCTGTGTAATTTCTTCTTGTCCTTTCTGTGTAATTTATTATTGTCCTTTCTGTGCAATCTGTCTTGTCCTATCTGTGTAGCCTGTCTTGTCCTATCTGTGTAGCCTGTCTTGTCCTATCTGTGTAGTCTGGCTTGTCCTATTTGTGTAATTTCTTCTTGTCCTTTCTGTGTAATCTGTCTTGTACTATCTGTGTAATCTGTCTTGTAGTATCTGAGTAATCTGTCTTTTCCTATCCATGTTATCTGTCTTCTCCTATTTGTGTAATCTCAATTATCCTATATGTATAATCTGTATTGTCCTATCTGTGTAATTTCTGATTGTCTTATCTGTGTAATTGGTCTTGTCCTATTTGTGAAATCTGTCTTGTACTATCTTTGTAATCTGTCTTTTCGTATTCTGTGTAATCTGTCTTGTCCTATCTGGGAAATCTGTCTTGTCCTGTTTGTGTAATCTGTCTAGTTCCATCTCTGCAATCTGTCTTTTACTATCTGTGTAATCTGTCTTTTCGTATTCCGTGTAATCTGTCTTGTCCTATCTGTGTAATCTGTCTTGTCCTTGTAAATTGTCCTATCTGTGTAATCTGTCTTTTTCTATTTGTGTAATGTGTTTTGACATATCTGTGTAATCTGTCTTTTCCTATCTGTGTAATTTGTCTTGTCCTATCTGTATAACCTGTCTTGTCCTATCTGTTTATTATGTAAATTGTCCTATCTGTAAAATATGTAGATCAAATCCTTTAAACGCATGGGAGAAACCTTCTAAAACTCAGACGTATAAAAGTTGTCAGGCTTCGCTAGGCCTATTCAGGCATTAGTATGCATAATTAAGGCCTAATCATAGAGTGTAGATGCGTAGTATAAAACCTAGATTGACTCAGCCAGCTGATTTAAGGGTCATCTTTGACGTCATTTTATCTCCGGATGTAACTAGCTTTAAATTCAGGCCAAATACTTTTAAATTTTTCATGCATTAGTAGAATATAGCATTCTTTTTCAATTCTTGCAATTTCAATTTTTTTGTAGCAATACTTATAATTGTTCTAGAAAGGCTCTAATAGTAGGGATAATTATATATATACGTAGGGATAGCAATAAATATATATAATATATAAAATAATAATAATAAATCATTTAAAACGAAATAATTTGTCAATTGATAAGTTTCGACTTCAAAGTTAACAAAAAATTATTTATCTGAATTTTTAAAAAATTATATCTGAAAAAAAAATATTTTTTACCTCCATCATCATCTCGAGATCAATCCCAGCAGGTTTTAATTTCATCGTAAAAAAGAAAAGAACAAAAAGAAAATGCCGTGCAAATGTTGAAAATTTGAAAATTCATGGAAATATCTAGAAAATTACGCAATTTATTAATTTTCCGATAAATTCTTTTAAACCAGATTAGTTCTCCGATTCTAAACTGTTTTCCGAATCCTCCATTTTATGTTTTAAATTTTTGTATTTATCGAAAGGAAACGCGATCAATCTAATTAAATATTTAATGTAAACTGGAAATCAACGTAAATTCAAATGATGCGATAAACTTTTCAAATATGAGTTTTATTTTGTGGCAAAGTTTGCGAGGGTTTAAAGGTAACTTGACATTTCTGTTGGAAGAAAAGAGCAATAAAAGATATCCTAATGAAAATACAGAAATCTAATTATTTCTCGAATACAAGCAAAGAAAGATTCTAAAGAATTGCGTATTTTCCTAAGAATCTGTGAAAAAAGGTGCTATATACAGCTACTGGCAGGAACAGAAAATACGCCTGAAAAAAAAGAAACTAAATTGTTAGTTCATACTTTTATAATTTTATTGAATAAGATTAAAAGGAGTGTTAGCTAAAATTTAAAGGGGGTATAGGCTGATCCCGAATTCAATTCGGGTTTGATCGCTACTAATTTTACTTCTATCTCTAGCGTAATGTAAGTTAAGTTCTGTTTGTCTTCGAGAAGTTTACAAAAGAAAACATTTTCTAAATATAATATGTTGTTTGTGTCTGGGAAGTTAATTATAGTATAATATTGCCAGAAATAAACAAATATGTGTTCTAATCAAATTATCCAAAAGTAGAAACTTAATACTGCAGATAGAAAAGAACCCGGGTTTATTTAAGAATTAAATTCAACCTTGATTTTGATAAAGTGACCCTTCATGCAAAGAGGACAATTTCCGATTCACAACAATACCCTTGGCACCTTAATCTGATAGTTTTCTCACTTTAAAAGTGTTTATTTCGATAAGCTTCTCTATTGCTTCTTATAAAAAAAGAAAAAAGCAAGTCACTTTCGCAGAGAAACCGCAAATGAAAATAAACAGTTTAAATAAACATAAACATTGATATCTAATTCATACTTGACCAGATAAAGGTTTCAAGGGTACCGTTGTAAATCGGGTATTGTTATATTTGCATGGAGTGTCACATGAAATTACTCTTACTGTTCCTTTAAGTATTTTAAGCAAAAATCTTCTATTTCATTACACTATCAGATTTTATATTCTTATTTCTTTCATAAATTTGATTACGATTAGGAGAGGCGTTTCCGCAAATACAGAAATTTGTCGGGGGGGGGGGGGGTTATTTACTTTTCTTAGAGGCAATATGTACTATAAAAAATATATTCCCTTATGTATATAGCAAGTTTGTCCTTGAGTTTAATTCTTAATTAATCTGTTTTTTATCATTTATAAAAATTGTTTAAAAACCTGACTTTTTGTTTATACAAATTTATCTTTATAACAAATACAAAAATAATCATCCTTGAAAATAAATTTTTTTCTCAGAAAAATTACCATTTCGGAGATTTCGAGAAAAATATGTACTTTATTGTGTCTCGCTTTATAAAATGTTGAAATTACAAAACAAAACAAAAACTTCTAAAAGCATCAACATTATAAATATATACAAATAAAATATTTGCGTTCAATAATTCCCGTCATGTTCAATTCTTTTGCTACCAAAAGAACAGAAAACTTACTTCAAACTCTAATTTCAAATTTTTAAATATCAAAGATTTATCATTTTAATATTGCAAAAGATATAGAAGTTAAAAAAATATACATTGAGGCCAAAATGCAAAGTACTTTAAAATCGTGTAATAAACATATTGATTTGATATGATAATTAATTCAACCACTGTAATTTAATATTAATATTAAATATATCTGATTACATTTTACGATCAAAGTACAATATTCAGCTTCATTAAAAGATTTTTGAAATTTAACTTTAAAGTAGGGTTTCCAATCGAAATTATTTGCACGAACATTGTGCAATAATTGCGCAAAGATTTTTTGTACGTTTTGAGTAAAATTGGAAATAATTTTTTAGCTGCATCTGATGTTTGAAAAATAAATTTAAAGTTGCACTTCAATGTTTGTATTTTTTGTTGAAAGTTGAAACTGACATTGTAAAACTGACATTGTAAAACTGACATTGTAAAACTGACATTGTAAAACTGATATTGTAAAACTGACAGTGTAAAAGTAACTAGTGTTACCGTTTAAGATGTTCCCTGTCGAATTTTGATCTACAATTCAAAATCAGTCGAAAATAGCGTGAACACTTTATATTCCAATAGTCAAACAAAAAAGTACAAAATAGCTAATAAGAAAATTCTTCTTTCAATGGGAGAAAATAGCTTCCAAAGGTAAGGCTCACTGAATAAAAACCCCCAAAACTTCGTACATTAGACGTACATTAGACGTACCGCGTCACATCGCCCAATATTTTAACAGATGGTGTTAATAAATAGTATTAGCATTTTGTAAAATGATTGATTAATCTTATCTGATTTCAAAACGAACTTTTGATATTCATAAAATACATAAAAAATTGTGTTTTTTGTAAAAAATGTTTCTTAAAAATTCTATAATTTCGATCTTCAGAAACATTTGTAGCTTGTATTTTTATCAAGCTCTAGACGATTTAAACTTTTAAAGGGACTGTAAGCGTAATTTCAAGTGGCCAAACATGCAAGATGGCAATTCTCGATTCACAACGGTACCCTTAAAAGCTTTTTTTGATAAAGTATGATGATGTCAATTGTGGTTTCCCGTCAAAAATGACTTGTTCATTTAAATGCTACAGGAAACATATAGCAATTATGAGAATTAATCAGTTTTAAACCTAGAATAACGAGAATATCTTCTTTATTAATAATCATTATTCATTATTAATCATTAATCATTATTATTTTTTATTACTGTTGTAATTCGGGCTTTGCCATCTTTGCAGCGAAGTTCACATAAAATTACACCCCCCTTTAAGTCCCTTCAAGTTTTGAATTTTTATTTTGTGAAAAAGTTTTTTTTTAACTAATACTTACATATGTGGTAGAATTTTTATTTTTATTGAAGGTATATCGGACTCATGGTTCAAGTAAAACTGCCGCCTCCACCTCTAGATAGATAGATAGTTAGAGAGAGAGATGAGATAGATAGATAGATGGGCATTTAAAAAAGAGAGGCCCTTTCAAGGGGTAGTTTTACAGCGAAATACGTGATATATACAAAAGGAAACAGATTAGCAAGGGAAAAAATACAATTTTTAAAATCTGAACATATAAATCTTTTAACAACTTTAAGAAACCTTAAGTAAACTATTATTAACTTTTTTCTGTCAAAATTAGCTAGGAATAAAAATGATCTGTAAGACAACGTTTTTTTCTGGTTGTAACGTTTAATCAACTTTTTTATGTTGTAATTATTAAATAACACAAAATTAGTTAAATTCGATTCATGGCGTGAAATGTGAAATTTCTAATAATTAAAAATGGTTAAAATGGTTAAAATCCCTAAAAAAAAATAACTAAACGTAAAGCCCCTGGCCTGAGTCCCTGATTTATGAATGGTTAAGCAGCTTATCTCAAATATTAGAATTGTATTCTAAGATGTCGTAAACACGTCACCATGGTTTAAACCATCAATATAGGGACAGGTAGACACCTTTAGACACAGAGTAGCACATGTTAGAAACAGGGTATAGCACATGTTACATACAGGGGAGCACATGTTACATACTGGGTAGCACATGTTACTTACAGGGTAGGGCATGATACATACAGGGTAGCACATGTTGCTTACAGATTAGCAAATGTTACATACAGATTAGCAAATGTTACATACAGGGTAGCACATGTTACATACTGGGTAGCACATGTTACTTACAGGTTAGCACATGTTACATACAGATTAGCAAATGTTACATACAGATTAGCAAATGTTACATACAGGGTAGCACATGTTACATACTGGGTAGCACATGTTACTTACAGGGTAGGACATGATACATACAGATTAGCAAATGTTACATACAGGGTAGCACATGTTAAATACTGGGTAGCACATGTTACTTACAGGGTAGCACATGATACATACAGGGTAGCACATTTTACATACAGGGTACCACATGTTACATATAGTGTTGCACATATAATATACAGTGTAGCACATGTTACATTTAGAGTAGCACATGTTACACACAGTGTAGCACATGGTACATAAAGGGAAGCATATATATACAACGTAGCATTTGTTATATAAAATGTAGCCTGTTGCACATACGTACAAGGTAGCACAAGTTACTTATACTGTAGCACATATTACATAACAAGGACAGCAATGTTTGTGTTTTTAAAGATCGGTTTCATGATTTTCGTCAACTTCGGTTGAAACCAGTTTTAAAGTTCAGCCAGACCTTTCAATTTTGGTTTAAACCAGTTTTCAGCCTACCCTAGACCTTTATGCTTTATTTATTATTCAGATGTTTATTGATTTAGATTTTTCGGCATAATTTCAAGGACACGGTTAATAATATCTATATAATAAAGCTCTTCGTTCAAATATATATATATATGAATAAAATGTTATAAGAAGATTGTTGCGTTTCAACTGATATTTATATATATATATACATATACGATAGCTTTATCTGGCAAAACGGCTGAACCAAATTTGCTGATTTTTTTTTACAGAAACTATGGATACCCTGGGAGTAACATAAAGTAAAAATATTGATTTTTTTCTTCAAAAGTCATTTTTTTCAAAAATCGTCTTTTCAAAGTGCACTGGCAACGCCGGGCATTCCAGTTGTATTTTATATACAAACAATTAGAGAATCGAACTTTAAAACGTATCATATTTGGCAAAAGAAAACAAAAGTTGGAAAATTCCGTCGAAGAATTCTGTAATATTTACACAATTTTCTGTACACACAGTACAAACTTCTTCAATTTTGTAAAAATTCAGTTCTTCTGGACCACACATCAAGTTTAGAAAATGTTGCAAATATTTTTAGATATTTGACATTTCATGTCATGTCAAGAATTTTAGACAATATATCATTTCAGAAGTTAATTATATAACTTGATTTCCCCAAAAAATGTAATTTCAGAAAATTTATATTTTTTAGGTTCAAAAATAGAGCACATGGAGGTTTCTCAAAAAGGGCTCACTTAGGATTTATGTGATTCTTCCCCCCCTTGGAAATAATTT